TCGGTAAATTATGAAATCAGCTGACTGCACAACAGTCAACAATTTTAAGTTTTATGGATTGAATATAGAGTCATTAAAATGATGTTTTGATGCTTTTATTTTCTAAAGGAAATACTTTTAAATTAATACTTTAAAAACAACAACGGAGTTTATTTATTTATTATCACACCTACACTGCTTTGATGATTTACTGAGGAATCAACGATATATCGGAGGGCTCACAGTGACTGAACCATCGTTATTCTGCCCATCCCTAACGATATGTTATTTTGGTATTTTTAGAAGTATTTTGTTGCAAGTGGACTAGAGTTTGGTTGTTGCTGCTGGCAGATGAGCCTGGGACCATAAATATGGATCTGAGCGATAATCAACTGGAGGATCAATCCGTCATATACAAGCACGAGCAGCTGTTTAGCGAGAGTTTTCCGCTGTTCAAGGAGATACGAAGACTGGGAAAGCTGTGTGATGTCACACTGAAGGTCGGTTGTCAATCCCCCTATCTTTGCATTATCACAATCTAGTGCCAGTTTCTAAAATTAAACACATTTGTACATATGCATGTGCAATCTTTGCGTGCAGGTTGAAGATCAGACATTCTCGGCCCATCGAGTCGTTCTAGCTGCCACAGTACCATATTTTTATGCAATGTTCACGAACAACATGGCGGAGAGTCGTATCCGGGAAATTACCATGAAGGAGATTGAGCCCAGCGCTCTGGAAAGTCTGATCAATTATGTGTACAGTGGCCAGGTTCGAATCGATAACCAAAATGTTCAAAGCCTCATGGTTGGCGCTTCGTTTCTGCAACTGTCCAATGTGCGCGATGCCTGTGCTTCTTTTCTCATCTCCCGCTTCCATCCTCATAATGTGCTGGGCATTCGCACTTTTGGTGACTCGATGATCTGCCGGCAGTTGACTGATGCTGCAGATAAGTACATTGATCAAAACTTTGCAAAGGTTTCCCAATCCGAGGAGTTCCTGGCACTTGACTGCGAACAGCTATTGGAGCTGATGCGACGAGATGAATTAAATGTGCTCAATGAGGAGGTGATATTTGAAGCTTGCATGCGTTGGGTTAAGTTCGCCGAAGAGAAACGCTCTGAGCTTTTTCCGCAAGTACTGGCGGCAGTACGCCTGCCTCTATTATCACCTCAATTTCTGGCGGACCGTGTGGCACGGGAAGAACTCATTCGCTCATCACACCAATGCCGTGACTTGCTAGACGAGGCAAAAGACTTTCATTTGATGCCCGAGCGCCGAGGCTTGCTTCAGAGCTTTCGTACTCGCCAACGGTGCGGTGAGTTCTTTACGGGCCAAATTTACGCCGTAGGTGGACTAGCCAGCACCGGTGAATCCGTCAGCACTGTGGAAATCTACGATCCCATTAAAAAGAAATGGAAAATGGGTGAACAAATGTCCATGATGCGGTGAGTTAGAAGTTGTATATATCCATTGCACATATTCATTGATATATTTGATTGCATTCGACAGATCCAGAGTGGGTGTGGCTGTCCTAGACGGCAAGTTGTACGCATTCGGTGGCTTCAATGGCACCGAACGGCTATCGACAGTGGAAGTCTACGATCCTCGAAAAAACAAATGGTCTCAGGGCTGTGCAATGTTGTGCAAGCGCAGCGCCGTAGGTGTCGCCGCTTTGGATGATTGCATTTACGTTTGTGGTGGATACGATGGGGTTACGTCGCTCAACACAGTCGAAGTTTACTACCCCAAAAGTAATACGTGGAAAACGGTGTGTGGCATTGTACCAATGTATGTAAATAATACTCATGTGTGTGATATGCTTTCAGGTGGCCCAAATGATGAAATATCGTTCAGCGGGTGGAGTTACGCAATTGAATGGTTATGTCTATGCGTTGGGAGGCCACGATGGATTGTCAATTTTTGATTCTGTAGAGCGTTATGATCAGAACGAGGATGTCTGGATCAAGATGGCACCGATGCTCAATCGACGATGTCGCTTGGGAGTGGCCACACTCAATGGAAAAATATATGTCTGTGGCGGGTACTGTGGTAATTCATTTCTGCGTTCCGTGGAGTGCTATGATCCCCTCACAGACACTTGGAAACTGGTGACGCCCATGAACTGTAAAAGATCTCGCGTAGCGTTGGCTGCCAACATGGGCAAGCTGTGGGCCATTGGTGGCTATGACGGTGAAACGAATCTTTCCACCGTTGAAGTCTACGACCCGGAGACCGACAAATGGACCTTCATGCCCCCAATGTGCGCACATAGCGGTGGTGTTGGTGCTGGAGTAATCCGCATTGATTAGCTTGCCTAGCCAAAAATTCTCGCATAGTTATTTGATTAGTTAATTTATGCAATTATATACTATTATAGTCTATTATATATCAGTGTGCAACTAAGCTTTAGTGGTGCTTCAGCCACCGCTCTACTTTTAAAATTGTTTAATGCGTCTTTCAGGATAGTTAAGTGAATTACATTCCAGTTGTATATGTTTGTTAGTGTGTAAATTATTCCTAGCCCACAATACTCATTAAATTGTAAACATTTAACATCTCGGCTATACAATTCAATATATATCGAGCCCTTTGCGTCATTGCTTTTGAGTGTAATCCAATTTTTTTTTTTGTTGCTGTGACAATTCCAAATGCAGATAAATCTCATTTATCGCATATCTCGCCAACCAATTGCCGTGTTCCATATGTGCGACAAATTCAGTTTGTTTGCACAACAATATACGGACAGCAAATACCGGAACGCGCAAAAAATTGCATTTTTTTCGTGTAAGAGGGTAGCTCCATATGTTACACACGCATGTAAATACTCCACGCTGTGTAAATACTCCAGCTGAAACTTAAATATTTGGATTCATGTATTGAGTAGAAAATATTTTGATTTAAGCAAGAAGTTTTATATTAGAAAAACCTCCAGCAACAAGATCTCTTCAGACGCTGGTGAAACTCTAAAGACCACCCTCTATTACTTAGTGCATGTCCTTTTGGAATGCTCTCACTGGTTTCTTTTATAATGCATTTTTAAATTGAATTTGCACCACCTGCTGCTGCAGTGCTGCAGTTGCGGATCTCTCGCCTACGATGGACAACAGGTGGCGCTACATACGCATTGCGCGGCCCGTTGGGCTTATCTCGGGCCGTGAGCACCATTTGCGAGTCCATAATGTAATTAACAGAATAAATTCCATTTATATACATAGATAAATAACACGCCACAAAATAGCACAAAACTGTTGCCGCGCTTTATCAATTTTATTTGGCCGTGGTAGGGTTTTGAATTCGCAGAATACAATGCTCCATAACTACAGCTTTGATCATGCTAACGTTATCAGCATTTCCGATATATATGTATGTATGTGTAGATATACTGGCAAAGGGGTGCTGGTGTTTTTGCGGCTGATTTATTTGATTTCAATTATCAAATCACCAATTGCTTGTCTATCAATAAAGCCATTGCGCAATTTTATTCTAATTAAATGCTAATTATGTTTGTCATAGCCAGCGCAAATATTTGAAAGGGTGCGAAATAGAACAAAGCACTTAAATTTGTGATGAGTCAATTTTAGCTGAAATTTTGTTAATTGAAATAGTGACTAACAGAACTACAATATAATATGTATACAACGGTCTACAGGAAGTGATTGGCAATCTAAATGCAAATCGCAGCACTGCAACATCGAATTTTATGACCCCAAAAACTCGCTGACTGCATAGAAATCCGAGATGAACATGCTCGATAAGAGATAGATAAAGTGAAAGAGAGTGAGAGAGAAAACTAAAGAGCCTAGCATATATTCAAAGCATATTTGAAAAAAAAAAAAAAAAAAGATTACTATTTTGCAAATATTAAAGTCTAAAATTGTTTAACAGATATTCATATTTAAAACAAAATATGAAAAATAAGAAGTCAAGCTATGCTCTGCACTTTGTAGTTGTCTGCATTTGCATTTGTATTTAAGATGCTTGTTTTAATATTTTTTGTTGCAGCATGGGGTACAGTAATAAACGCTTGCCTTTCGGCTATGAACAGAGGATGTGCGGACGTGGGCGTTCGTGTTTGCATACACTTGGCCTTTACGAGTGGCACGTGGTTTGTTATTATCTTGGCTGTTGGTGGAACGGTCTAGGTCTTGGAGCTGTTGTTCTCCAAGCTGGCCTCGCGACTCAAGTGCGGCGAGCGCCTAAAAGATGCAGATTTCGGATTTTATTTTTGTTTCCTCCAACGTCATCGCAGGCATTGCAATTCCAGTGTATTCTATAATTACCATAAATATACATTTACGGGTTGATTTAAAATGGAAAATCATTATTTGCATAGTACAGCAGTTGAAATTTGTTATGTGCAAATAATGGCCTCAAACAATGCTAAAGCAAATATGCATTTTGTGTACATTTTTGGCTAATGCAAAGTTGGCTTAAAGTCACTTTAGAACTTCGCATAAAAACAGGCCAAGTTGCAAAAATTAATTTCGAAAACAAATGAATATATTTTCGCATATGCATATGAAGGGCAGGCCAAATTGTTCTTGTTTAATGTTTTATTCACATATGCAAACAAAATTTCCGTTCAATTCAATTGCGCGCCGCGACCTAAAAGTATTTTCCGTTATTCAGTTTTTTCCTTCTTCTGCAACAAAGTGGCGCCCACATAAAAACGGACCAACATCAACTCACGCACACACACACACACACCATATTGACTCACACCCACACTCACACATATGCGCGCCTCACACAGTGAACAACACAGACACTGTTGAATTTCTATTCGACCAATTGTTGATATGCACGAGTAAATAAAAGCAGCAGGCCGGAGCCGAACGACACACGAGGAGCTTCGTGCCTCGTGTTTGTCGTTTCCTGTTCGTTGTGTGCGTGTATCCAACGAAGCGCATTCAGCTCGGTGAGTGTGTGCGTGCGTGTGTGTGTGTAGTTGTCGTTGGGCTTGTGTTCTTCGCTGGCAGCCAGCGTTGAGCATTTATAAAGTCCATTGCCGCTTTGATCTGTCGCTCAGTTGTTGCATACTTCTCGGGGTGTTCATTCGACGTGCACCATAAAGAAAAAAAAGACACTTTATTAAACAATTCGAAAAGCTCACAGGGAGCTGCTGGGCAAACTATTGAAACTTTAAATTTTTATAACTGTAAGTGCATAGAAATAGTAATATTAATTAAATAAAAAGTTAAATTTATAAGAACATATTTGTGGAAACATGCAGTTCGCCTCTAAAATGTGTTGTTATAACATAAAGTTATTGACTTTCAACCTATTTTATTTACCCTGGCATGGCTTTGTATCAAAATCGGGTTTGCTTGAGTGAGCAATACAGTAAAATATCTTAAAAAGGAAACATTCACTTGACCATATCGGTTCTGATTTCCTATTAAATATTTAGTGTTCAGCTTGTGTGACTGATGAAGTTACGAAAGTGCATTAAGGATCTCTTATAAGTGTTAACAAAATGAAGTCAAAGTTGAAAAGTTGTTTCAGTTGCAGACATAAACCAATTGTGTAGTTCGATTGGGGTCTGGCTCTACGCCAGAGCCAAAAATGAATTTGCTCTGCACGATTGATTCTCATGTAGACAAAAGCAAAATATTCGTTTTGCTTAAGTATTTGACTATGACTTCATCAGCAGAATTTCATATACCCATTTTAGTTAAGCTAATACTTTAAATCGACTTATTTAGGTGTTTAGTTGAATTATATTTTTAATATAATATGAAATTTATTTGCTTGTGAATAATTATTATTGAGATCATGGTAAAATTAAAATTATTTCAATATTGTTGTTTAGCTATGAGCTAGAATTATTTGGTTATTGTATTATAAAATTTAAAATGAGTAAATTGCAAAAGTGATCTAAATATCCTTATAGATATGTTTATTGGGTATTCATAAATATCCTATTTTATTTAGTATTTATATGTTAACATGAACACTGTTCCATTTACGTCCACCTTAATGAAGATTTAATAGAGCAATTAAAGTCATTTAATGGACTCTCCTAGGGTTGCATTATTATATATTAATACGAAAATCATACAAATTTTCTTTAAGATCTTTTAATAGCAAATCGTTCATTTGAACCACATCGATTGAACCTACAATTATTAAATTATTTCTTAGAAATGGCTTGCTTAAACATTTCTAAAATACACCTTAATACGCTTAACGTTTCATATGACAACTTGGCCGACGGCTAATCAGCCGGCGGCAAAAGCCAATAAAAATACTACTTCAATGAGAAGATGTGTGTTTTAATACGCCTCGGCGATTCGGAGCTATCCAAAGCCACTCGCATCCGGTGTTGACTCATGCTGCACGCAACGCATGGCCCATTTGGAGGCAACAAGCTAAAAATTCTGTAAAAACAAAAAACGACCAACATGGGGCGGCGCTTTAAAACTGCCTCTGGGTCTTAACTTGTTTTATGTCAACTTGGACAGTCGCAATTAGTACATAAATACGTACATATGTATGCAGCCGGTAACAAGGAAATGTATGTGCACAGCTCCCTTACACACACCTGTCCAGGCTGTGTACACATGCTCAGGTACTCGAGCTGCAGCTGTGCCTGAAAGATGCTTTAAAAAAAGCTTATGCCTAACCGTTAGTGAAAGGGTATATGTGTGTGTGAGTGTATGTGGACCAAGCTGAGCGCGTTCTAATTAACCTGAACATCAAGTACGACAATTATTTTAGCTACAGGGCTCATTATAATAACCAGATGGTCAAGTTGGGAGCCGTTTGTAGCCAGCTTTTACACTATTAAAAAGTAATAATTATTTTTATTTTATATATTTGTTTAGTGAAAATATCTACTGTATATATCTTATTATATAGTGAATATAATATATTAAATTTAACTTTTATTAAGCCATACGAGGCACTCCAGTAACCCCTTTATGAGCTTGTTAATCTGTTACTTCTGCCCATTTGGGTGCTAACTAGCGTTAGCTGTCAGTATTGACAAATATTGATGTATTGATGATTTGAACTTTGTTATTTAAAAATGTTATTCATCTAAATATATAAATAATATATATTAAATGTTAAATCCGTGCCATTCAAGTTTTGTATCTTAACAGTATTTATTTTATTCTTCTTTTATTATAAAATCTTATCTCTGACCTTCATCAATAATTATCAATTAAGCATTTGAATAAATTTAACTACTTTCACAACAATTACCCAAGACATTTAAATAGTTAAAAAATTCTATAATCTATAAAAATTCCAATTAACTTTCTGGAATAAGTTTTTTTTAGGCATACCGAAAATAGCGTTGTTTTCAAGCTAATTCAACCATATAATCTAAACTCCTTTAAATATTCATTTTGTTCAATAAATGCATTCCAGATATTTTATATTGCCCTAACTAAAGGGAAAAGTTAAAGGACTCACAAAAATAGCTCGCTTCATTAGGCCTTTCATTTTAAATATTGAATCTAAGGCTTTGGGATAATTTTAAGAAAAGCAAGCTTCCATTTCTCATCTATATGTGTATATATTTCAATCGTGTATCCACATATCTTAGCTTGAGCGCTGAACCCAGCGAGGCATGACGTAAATTTGAACTTTTACTGATGACAGTTTAGCAGCTTCTGTGCTGTCGGGGACTTCAATCATTTGGGATTAATTTGGAAAGGTGACATACATACAAAGGTCACATGCGTGCTTCCCTTAACTGTTTTTGTCGTGTTGATGATGCTTCGGTAATGAGTCTTTTTGCGGCAGGCTTACAAAAGGATAAAGGAGCGAGCCATTACCAGATTTTAATGCCTTACAAAACAAAACTTAATTTAAAACGATTTACATGATATATGGTGTTGTAGTACTAGTACCTAAGCTAATTCGACCTTCTGCTGTTCAGGATGGGCGTATTTCGGAACTGCACTTCCATAACCGTCGGTGCCTGTTGGTATTCCACTAGAATCAAACGGTTGCTGCCCACCCTCAGCACCGGGGCAGGCACATATAGGGTTATCTGTGGGCCCACCAGTGGCCAGTAGCGACCCAGATTTTCGCCGTTCACGAAGACAATACCTTTGCCCCAGCCGGACATGTCTAGGTATGTGTCCGCCAGATCGTCGGCGCTGTTGATGGTCAATGTACCGTAATAGATAGCCGGGCCGTTGCGTAGAATCGTTTTCAGTTGCTTGATCTCTTTGAAACCAGCTTGCGCCGCTGCGGTGGACTGGACAACGAGCGTCTCCAAGTCTTCGTAGGACTCCAGGGGATACTTGGTCATATTCCAGTTGATTAGGATCTGTTTGTCCAGGCGCACGTCCTTGGTTAGGCCCTTGAAATCGTTCAGCTGTCTACCGAAGTTGAGCCGTCCCTGATTCTCAACCAGAATCTGCAATTTTCTGCCCATGCTGGGACTCAGTGGCAGATCGAAGATAGGTGCTTCCCGTGCCAGTATTCCGACAATTTCATTATCCACATAGACATAGCCCCGATCCGCCAAGCCACGAACGTGCAGAATACTCGGATCCCGTTTAAACTGCGACGGCAGCCAGCTCTCATACAGCACCAGGCCGGAGTATTGGTTCAGGGCCTCAAAGGTTTTCGGCTTCGCCGACCGCACAACGCCCGTGCTCAGCTTCTCCCGACCCTCGTCGGAGAACAGCGTGCAGCAGCTGAGCAGCCGGACCGTCCCGTACGCCCGCTTCGGCACCGGCGTGGGCACTGGCATATCCGGCAGCGGCAAGTACCTGCCGATAATTTGACGTAAGGCCATGTACTTGGGCGTGGGGTCGCCAGCCTCCGTCATCGGCGCATCGTAGTCATAGCTGGTGATGTCGGCTATGTAGTTACCCGGTCCATTGTCGTTGGCGCCTGCCGTGAATCCAAAGTTGGTTCCACCATAAAACATGTAGAAATTGACGCTGGCTCCGCTATCAAGCATGTCTCTGGAAAGTAAAGAGAAGCCAGAGAATGTTAATTCCTAAACATGCGAACCGTATTTCATAGTAGTGAATATAGTAAAATGTCTTTATGAATAATTTTTGGGGCTAGTTAAAAACTTTCGTTCCATCAAATGGTTTGCTTAGCTTCTTTTGGATACGATTCAAGCCGAGTGTAAATATTTCCAAAAATTACTAACTTGGCGTAATCAATTATTTTAATTTTAGTGAAAACGAAAATTAATATACTTGAATACCAAAGCAAGTTTTTATACGCATTCACGAGTTAATCTCTGTCCAAATTTGATATCCTTCAAAATTAATTTTATGTTCTGATGCTCATTCCTAAATTGTGATTTTAAGCAAAGTCCAATACTAATTTGCTTAAAGGTTTGCTTTGATACCTTCATTAACAATAAACCTTGTCTAATGCTCGGTACACAGAATGAGTTCATTGAATGACAAGAATAGCTATATGATATGATATTTTGTTTCCTTAATATTAGACACTTACATGAAAGTTCCAGTGATTGCTGAGGTGCTCACATTGGCCATTGGTTCTGTCCAGTGGGTCAGCCAGCCGGGATAGTACTCGGCATTTACTAGCGGACCCTTGGGCTGGTACTGTCGCAGCTTGGCCCAGACGTCTTTCAGGTTCGACGTGGCTCCAAAGTCCATTGTGGCCAAAACTCCCTGTATTTTGCCACAGCGCAGAACCCCGGGTCCGTCGTTGGTGAATAGCACGGCGCTGTCTTTAACGTGGTTCTGTGTCTCATCGCGCAGCCAGTTGCGATAGTTGGCATCGCAGGCAAAGTACGAGCCGTACTCGTTCTCCACCTGCACCATGATAATGGGTCCGCCGTTGCCGTACAGATAGGGGCCTATGCGTGCCATTAGCTGACTGTACCATATGCGCACCTCGCTCAAGTAATCTGCAAAATGGAAGTGTGTGTGCTTAGTTCCATTGAGTTGAGTCGAGTCTTGCCGAGGCACATACTGATATCAGCTGTGCGAAGCTGAATGCCGGGGAACTTGTTGAGCAGCCAGTAGGGAAAGCCGCCCATGTCGCGCTCGGCACAGATGTAGGGTCCGGGGCGAAGTATCACCAGCAGATCCTCGTCCACAGCCAAACGTATAAAGCGCTCCAGATCCGCAATGCCCGTCCAGACGTAGACGCCATCGCGCGGATTGTGCAACGACCATTCCACGTAACTTCACATAACATAAATACGATTACTTGAAATCAGAGCCAATAGAGCAATAAACCTACGTAGTAACCGCATTCAGACCCGCCGCACGCATAGTTCTCAAGTGGCGTGACCAGGTGTCGGGGTGTGCTCGAAAGTAGTGAAAGGATCCAGCAATGAAATGAAAGGGTCGCCCATCCTTCAGAAATCTATCATTTTCATAGTCCACTGTAAACGAGCGACTGCCGCTGCCCAGATCAGCGATGAAAACCAATGACAGCAACGTCAAGCAGCCATAGGAGAAATTCATTATTGCTACGCAACGGCTGCAAAAAAACAGTAGGAAAATTATGAAATGTTTTCGATGTTAAAATACTTCTATTTAATTGTAATCTATATACTCTAATTAATACAGTAGAATCAGTATATGACGACAACACTTAAAGCTTCATTTATTGCGACGAAAATTGTGTCTTCAGACAAACATATATGGGCAAACTTAATCGACTGTAGCGTCGGGTATAACTACCGCCCCTTAAATATCGTAATAATCGGATTCTATCATATTTTGTATTTTCCGAATACTTCATTTAGAAAGGGAGTCGACTTATCATATCATGAAATGAAAGATTTACTCAAAAATACTACTTTTGGATCGTTTTGGATGAATGAGTACTACGTAGTCTGTCCGAAAAAAATATTCTCATTTGACTTTATATGACATTAATTTTTATTATTTTAATATCCGATTAAATCTTTCCCTATAGTTTCAATTGTCCAGCGATATTATTATACTTTTATAGTATAGACCACCTTTACAGTTTAATTAAGGAGTTTTCTGTAATAGAAAGTGAATTATCAGTAGAAATCATTTTTGAGAGTGTATCAAAATTAAGCTCTAGCATAAAATCGAATCTCTCCCAAAACTCTCAAGCTTTATATAAATTAAAAAATTCATTGTTTTTATTATTCTTATCCCTTGATAACGATTTGAATCACAAGATATACAAATATTTATTAGTATTGCGATTGTTGATAATATAATAATGTCTATCATTTATTATTGTTAATAAAAAGTTTTTTTTTTTCATTGCACAGCCAAATTCGTCATTCTATAATTAATCTTGAATTTTTTATAAAATCAAATGAATAGTCAAATTCAAGTGAATAATTAGATTCAAATTAATAATTATTAATTAAGAATTAGCTAAGTGTTATACTAATGGAACTCTGAAATATGGACTGCATAGACGATATCCAATTGTTGACTTTCGATTTTTATTAATTTATACATAATATAATTTAAGGCTGTCCATTTAAAATTTAAAATATTTTCAAATATTCGAATATAATTTAATTTGGTAAATAACTAAGAAAATTGATGCCTCTTTGGATTATTTTTAAATTGTAAACAAACTTTTACCTTTATAAAATTATAAACAAATTCGGTTGTTAACCTTTCTAATGCTAACTAAATTTCAAATTTAAATTTAAGCGTATGCTAATAAATATATAATCAAATATTTGTTTTCGCAGAGCTGGGCATGTGATTGACCCATTTTACTTTGATTTGATGTCGATGTTGATCAAATTTTAGTTTTTACATTCAAGTTTTTTGAAAGTGAAAACAATGCTAAAATTTTGTTATCAAGCACTGAATTCTACATCTAAATTGCCTTTTGAAATGGCAGTGAATCTCAGTTCACTCCAACTACCCGATCAGTGCACAATAGCGGGTAAATGACTTCCTTATCGAGACACTTGTCTCAATAATTTTCAGCTGTTTCGCAAACTCTAGCGTACAACTTCATCTGTACATACATATATGTATACATATCTAGAGATAATAGGTACAATCAATGCACGCCCCTTGCTTCGACTTGTAACTGTGCTTCTTCTTTCTAAACGAGAAGATGAAAGTTCTGGTGTTAATTGTTTAAATTTCCAGAAATAGTCCAACAAAACACCTTTCGACACGCGAATGTGCGTTTTAAGTCATTCATATTGAAGCCAATATTGTTGTTGAGCAATATTCAGTATGTGCATGATTTCAATTGGGAATTTAGAATGGTTAATCTTACTCGTGCCACTACGGGACATAAATACACATACATGATATATATATTTATATATGTTATGTATAAATTAATATACACACATAGACTACTTACATTACAGACTATAATAAGCGAGTTTTATGACTGTAAACTCAAATAAATTTGAGAGGTATACAAAATATTTATTACATTAGCTTAAGTTCTCTTATTAACTTGCATTTTATTTATTGCTAAGTCAACTGATTTATATGTAAAATGTCTTACAGGGAATAGTTTTGTAGTTTTTATAGTGCTCTACATTCATTCATTCAATCAGCTCTGCAATATTTAACGAACGCATCGTGTACACAATACAATTAGTGTTACAGGAAGGGAATGGCACTTCCCTCTATGTAAATCTCGCTTATCATCATATCCGAGTCCATGGCTATCGTCTTTACGGAACTAAGTCACACATATATACATTAGCTAATCGGGGAAATCTTTTGCTGCCGCAAATCTCTCAGCTGGGCTGGGATTATTGCCTTAATTCAAGTTCATGGTTCAATTATTTAGCTGACGTCTCTTTGCTCGCTGTCTCACTGGCTCATTGACTGAGTGACTGACTGACTGACTGGCTGGTCGACTGATTGACAATCTCTGTTTGCTCTGCTGACTTGATACAGCGCCTCGCTTGACACATTAATTATAAATTTATGCCACTTCTGTTTGGCCAAGAACAATAACTTTGCCCGAACTGTTTCGTTTTCATCATCAGCATTAATTTGATGCGCACTCACATTTCCCGATTTCACATTTATTTCAATGTTTATTTATTTATTTGCTTTGGCCCAAGCCATGGACCTCATTAAGCCACTGCGACAGCTGTTCGGAGCCTACACTGAAATATTTCCCCAGCCTATGGGAACTCGGCTTTCCCTGTCGATTCCCAGACCAGCAGCGCTTATCGCTCTCCGACTACCCATATATATGTGTGTATGTGTGTGTATTTGCTATGTAAGTGTGTTTACCACCTCACACATCCCATTTCTGTTTATGGCTCACTGATAAGTGGCCAATGTTTGAATTCAATTTTTTCTTAGCCTTCGACATTTGTGACTAAAAAACAGTGAAGATATTTTGATAATGCAATGATTTAGTACAAAAGTTGTAGTATTTCGTATTATACTTTATAATTTAGATTATTTTCTTGAGTAGAAAAAAAACAAAGGCAAGTAAAATAATTGATAATGCAATGATTGGCAGTATTAAATATTAAAATATATTTTATTTTCTTCAAAAAATAATAGAAATATTTTAAACTTCATCTTTATACCAATTCATCTAAAACTCCTGACCATTTTAGGATAATTCAAGATGGCCTTTACAATTCAAGTCTTTGTCTCGCAACACATTGATGAAGTCTCACTTGGCCTTTTACAATATCTATTAAGATGGAACCCCTTTCCTTCCCTTTCAAGTGAATCAATCAATTAGATTACTCAAATGCATTCGGCAGTGATTAAAGTAATCGTCGCATTTTCGATTTCGGAAAACAGCTTTGTGCATCCCCCTCAGCGGTAATCTACCATAAAACCGATTGATGCCATGATAAGAATGTGTAAGTCCCAAGCAGAGATATATGTATATGCATATATCAGACAAATATGAAACTGAAAAACAGCTGAACTGTGTCATAGCTAGTGTAGTGCGTGATCTTAATTGAGAGTGAATTAAATGATGTGTGAATTCCCGGCCCTGAACTTGGACGAGTGCCCGAGTGCAGACCTGCCCAAAAATTAAGGCAATCACTGAAATTATTTGCCCGTAATGCATTTATTTACTCGTACAGTATATACATATATATCATATATAAGTACATATTGCCCGTCGAAACGGAACTCGTAATGTGGTGGTAATTTTTATATCGGCAAGAACAACGAAATCTGAGACACACTTTTAATGCTATTCAGCGTCAGCGCCAATCGCACAACATGAGACAAGCATTTTAAGCATTTGACCCAATTCAATTATTTTGCATGCTCCAAGCCCCAGCCCAAGCGAAGGCCCAGACCCAGGCCCTGGCTGAGGCCCAGGTTCCCGGAGTGTGAACGACAAGAAAGTTGATTATTTTCGTATGCTTTCGCTTTAGTTCATTGTAGTTCTTGTTGTTATTGTTGTTGAATTACTGCTAAGCCAAAGATCGTCAGGTCAGCAGGGCTCGCCTCTGAGTCCCATTAAGATAACAGTATTTGCTCTGCTTATCACTTTTCCCATACTCACCTGGTTCTAAATAGACTACCGTCTCACTTTTAAGTTGATCTCTTCTAGGATACACACTGCTCGTAGTTTAATATATATGTATGTATATCGCAGAACAGATTTATGTAGATCTCTTTTACACACATATATTTAGTCACTGTCTAACCGAGCCGTGCGCTCCGCTTGAAAGCTAAACTCAAACTGAACGATCGCCAGCCCCGAGCTGCTGATAAGTGCAGCCAAAACACTTGACGGGAACGATTCTTGAATCATTCATAGTATACTGGGCGCACTCGTGTGCAGCAATCGACGCATGGAACGACACGAGAGCATTGTTTGTCGTGCTCACGCACGCAATTACATACTTATCTATATTGAATTGGAAGTAATTATAATAAAAAGCATTTAATATGCATTACTTTTATAACATTTTATTTATTTTCTGTTGAACTTTTGTTTATAATCATATACAGCAACTTTCATAATCGAACTGACTAAAATTTATATAATATGTTTGCTGTTCTTATATTATATATACATATATACATACTCATATAAAACGTTTAATGTGATTTATTTGTAAAATAAAACAACATTTATTTATAATACTATATATTTGTGTCAAGTCCTCTCCTTTGGAAAGTCACATTTTTCTTGGGAGCATTCGACAAGGGAATACTTTGCACTTCCAGTCATACATATTATTTGTATTAGTTTTATCAAACAGATCTACAAAATTTATTTATAACATACACATATATACATATATAATAGCTAAAGAGTGCCATCATTTTAAAATTTTTTATTTTATACGATATTTATTCACATTAATTTAAAAATGTATATGTTTGTTTATCATAATTTTGTACAATTTAATTTATTAATTTTTTTTATTTTTTATATAAAAAAGAGACATTAATTTTAATGCATAAAAATAGCTTTAACAGATTTTACTTTATTAAATAATGTGCTTTATATTTGCATAATTAGGTATACAAACACTCTGTCATACACTCAATATTGACTTTTTGATAAATGTATGTATGTACAGTGTACATCTATTGTGGTATAGGAAATTTTTGTATGCCATCTTCAAGGGAATTTATATAACTAAAGTAATACATTTCGTCCAATGTGCAATGTCTGCTCACACAGGGGATTTAAGTTGAGAAGCGTTGGCATTTTAAGAATTTTAATAAATTAATTCAATTAAATCTTTAATTATCTCAAATGAGACTAGATCCTGGTTGTCTATGATTGATTTACAGAAGCAACCATTTTAATTTAAATTGCTGTTATAAATTTATATAGTTTTGCTAAATTTAATATAATTTTGCCGACTTGGTCATTCGGCAGGATTTGATTTGTCAGGTTCACTCAGATCACTCAGATCGGATTCTCGTGCAGATCGACTCGTATATCTTAACGGCGCAGTGACTAGATCCATGCCCAACTATTTGGCAATTGTAGTTTTGCACTATTTTGTTAGTATTACGCTTTTGGAATTCCTAATTGATTCTATCAAAGTCAGTTATTGAATGGTATGATATGATATGGTATAATAATGATTATTTATTTATATTTACTATAGTTTTATATCAATAAAGTAATTGCTGATAGCATCTCCAGCAGTAGAGCAGGTTAGAAAGTCTGAATTTCCCCCAGCAGGCAGTGGCAGTTTTAATTATGATCTATGTTGGCTTCGCAATGGAATTTTTGTTGATAGTATATTTGCAACACTTAAGCTCTTTGCAAATATTAGCACAGTTATAGGTAGCATAAGCTTGATGTTATTAAATCAGTTAAATGGTCTACCGAGAAGTAATTAGAGCTGAAGTTCTGAGCAGTGACAATATTTATTGTTTTCTTTTTTTCTTTTTTTTTTTTGCTTTCCCGATGGCATTTCTGTACCGTTAGATATATTCGATATCTTAATTATGCACGGTTTCGCATGACAATTAATACGTACGTATATTTAAAAACTCAAAGCCGCTCAAACCGTTTAGATAAAATGCTGTTCTCTATCAGTAATTTATGTTTGTTTTTTATTAGCTCAAAGGTGAACTATTTACTCTATAGGGATAGTTACTAAAACTGCCTTATTTTTGTTAAGAAATCACTGTTTTAAATTTGTATATGTTTCAATAATAGAACTATTCAAATAAATGAAAACCCTCTGCGGCATTTGCTCTACATATATGTATGGTATAGAGGTTTACGAATTTGATATGTATATACAAATGGATGAATCAGAGTTACAAAATACATTCATAGATGCTGAATAATAAATATCCAAATGGATTATACAGTCAAATGTACTCTCAATGGGTCGAGTAAAGTAATTAGTTAGATAGATAGGTAGATCTTGACACCCAGTACACCTGGCTGCACATTGTTATAATTTAGTATAATCTTAACTTGGCTCGTCTTCAAAGCTATCCCGAATCGTTCAGTAATTGCACAACATTTATCATTCAGCATCTTCAATTTTTTTAGAAGTGCTTAGTAGTATTTTATATATATTATATATAGAGAGAGAGGCAGAGTGAAAGAGAGAGCGAGACAGAAACAAAAATGGGCTTTAAAGCGCTTTTTGCGACGTGATATATCCACTTGTTAGGTTTTCGTTGCTGGGCATCTGCGACCGATGGTTAATATTAATATATTTATGTAAATACAGAGTCTAAAGAGCACGACTGGCATTGCCATCGAAATTTCGAATCGGGCTACAGCTGCAGGGCCTAGTACGAAGGAGTTTGGGTACGCTTCATATTCTATGCATTAACTGTTGCCCAAGCACACCTCCCGCTCCCCCAGTACCAGCCCCAGTCCCCAACACACGGCTCGTTTGTTGTTTTTGGTGGGGGCGACGCGAGATAGATGCAGAGAGGGCAATGACGAGATGCAGCCGCAGGCAAACTGAAACCAAGAACTGAGAGCGGCGAATGGAGAATGGAGAATGGAGAATGGAGCGGACAATTGGCCAAAAAGTGAATTTTCCATTCAGTGTTGTTCTATTATTTATTTCGTATGGTTGTTTCTATTATTGTTGTTGTCGTCGTCGGCGTTGTTTTTTGTTGTTGTTGTTGTTGTTGTTGTAGTGTGTCGGCTGGCGGGCTAATGGGCCTTTATTACCCACACAGCCGCACAGATACACAAATAAAGACACACACACACGCACACTGGCAAGCCCACACATGTACCAAAGGATATCCGTGGCACGTCCTGGGCGCTATTTTGGCCAAAATGTAAATCTCTCACTGTGGCGCCGCTCGCATCTTTAATGTTCACACGGCCATTGTTTTGTTGGCTCGTCGGCCCGTTGGCAGTTTAAAGTGTCCTTTGGGTATGCACAAAGCAAACACAATTCCACCCATACATTGACAATTAGACAGGACACACACACGCTGCACACTTGCCGCAGCTTACAGCTGGGCTTAAAGCCATCTCCACATCCCCGTGTGCGGAGTGTTGACTGGTCCTATTCCTAAGTCATTGTTCGACTCCTGCCTGCTGTCACTTTCACGTCATGACGCCCATCGCCCATCGCCCATCACCCAGCGGGCAGACGCCTCAAAAACAGGAAGCTTAACACTTTGCTGCCTGCTAATTTTGTGCCAGAAACTTTGGTCATTAAAGCGTGTGAATATGATTAGAGAATTGTGTCCAACATCAGCTGCGGCCCTCCTGATGCTTTGACATTTGCCGTTGCCTCTATTATGTTTAGTATTTAAAAACTGTCAGCTCTCTGGGCACTTCAACTTAAAGCCAACACACACAACCAGAGCTCATCCGTTGCCATCAATGAGGCCCATCGAAACGAGCTAAGCTCGCAACCTGTTGATTACCGCAAATTTAACATCAATTCAATTCAAATGACTTTGGCTGCATTCAATTCAATTGCCACTTGATGTCTCTCTAGCTATGCTCGGGCATCGGCATCGGGCATCGGGCATGGGGCATTGGCTGTGCAACTGCAACTTCTTCTCGACGCCACTGGCAATCAATTGAATTACATGTTGCCAGCTTCCTGTGCGCGCATCGTTAGTGTTATCATACCCTCAATGCAGCTGGCTCCAAACGGGCATAGACCAACAGCAATGGGATTATTTCAAACTGGGAAAGTACAAAAAAAAAAAAAAAAAGATATTTGAAGACAGAGAATAAAACATGAATGATAAAAACTCTTATTAAAGAAATTAATGTTCTGGCATTAACTGGGATTAAATGGGCTGAATATAATTAATTTTATTAATAATAAATATACAAAATATCATCATCTACTATTAACATTTCTAAAGTATCTCGGGATCAACCTTAGTTCTGTATCAGATTTTTTTCCGGTTTGCTCTGTTGTTCTGACACCAGTTGCCCGGATGGCGGGATAGCTGCATGGCTGCATGGTTGGGTGCCTGGGTGCCTGGGATATGCATAGCCGTCTTATCGTGAGTGCCTCGGCGACATTGCCAATGCATTTGCATGGCAATTTGACTTAACGAGGCGGCGGGTGGCGGGCGATGGCAGCATTCGAGCATAATCAATGGCAAGCAAACCACTTCAACACGAAGGTGGCTCCGCCTGTTTGGTCTACAAATATTTGCGTATGTGTGACAATAAATTCTTGCAACTGCCGCTGGCCTTTTGAACAAATTGCAATAGAAAGATATCCATATGAGACCAAAATGGAATTGCGAATTTTTACAAACCATTTTCTATACGTTGCGTTACATTTCTTTATTTATTTTTCCCCTATAAATTAAAATGTATTTAAAAATAATGGTTACTTTGAATATAGTATATTAAACAACTATTAACTTAGTTCTTACATCAGTGGTTTAATAATATAAAATAATATAATAATAATATAAAAATGTATTTTTACATTTTTGAAGTGCAAAAAGATTTAGATGCATTTATTTAATCATTTTCAAATGCCAACTGCAAGCATTTATGAATACGGAGGCATCAAACCGAACATAAAGAAATAATAAAACAATTGTAACTATTTTTTAAATTATTCCAAGGAATATCCATTTTATCCACAATCTCTCTCTTAGATTCAAAAAATTAAATAAGCCATTTTGTCTACACTCATCTAATTTACATCTTACAATTGGTAGCGCCATCTAACGTTCATTTCTATTTGTTTTAATAGCACCCGCCTAGAAGCACGCAGCACAAATTTTACGCCATGTGCAATAAGAAACTGTTACTGCTGCTCCTGTTGTTAACAGTTGCTGCAGTTGCAAGCGGCGCTGAGGCGGAGCCGGAGGATGCCGACGCTATGACCATTAGCCCTGCAACGCCTGGCGCACAGGAAGAGGCAAGAAACATGGTTAAGCGTGCACCGACATCCAGCTTTATTGGTATGCGAGGCAAGAAGGAGCAAGACGCATCGGCAGATGCCAATTGGTTCGGCCCCGATCCTTTGGATTATGGCGAAGAAGATGAGGACAACTCGTACTATGAGAACGGTAGAAGGCTCAAGAAGGCTCCAATGGCCTTCGTTGGCATGCGCGGCAAGAAGTTTTCGCCGAATACCAATCGACTACGCGATTTACTGCAGAACATGGAGGAGCAGCGTCTGCGAGAGAGTTTCCTGCAAGAATTCCTGAACAATTTGGCGACAGATGGCGGCGATGTGGCCAAGCGAGCACCCACCGGATTTACTGGCATGCGTGGCAAGCGACCGTCCTTGTCCGAAAACGAGGACGATGAGGACGATGCACTGGAGCTGCTGGAAAAACGCGCCCCTGTCAACTCCTTCGTAGGCATGCGTGGCAAAAAGGATGTTTCCCATCAGCACTACAAGCGCGCGGCTCTTTCAGAGGTAAGCGCACTAAATACAGCTGCAGATGGGCGCGTGACAGACTTACATTGCGAGGAGAGTGTTGATTAGGAGACAAGCAAAATATAATGCGAAGTTATAGGCATATAAATATATAGAATATCAGTGAGGAGACTCGAATGAAATAAAATATATCCTAGTTTTTATATATACATATATTATATTATTCTATTCTTCTACTCTATTCTCATTCGGATTCCCATGTGGTCCATAAGTTGTATCCTTTTCTTTATTTGTCTGCAATTAATTGAGATACGAGTTGCTTTGCCTATGTGGGCTTTGATGTAATTCTTGTCGTATAATTAGCACAGCTACTATGGGAATCACTAGATCCTTCTGTTGTACAGATTTAATCACAAACCACCCAGGATCACATAAAACATGCAAGTGCTGTGTATGTCATATAATATTTGGAGAATTTACTTAATTCCATTAATGAAATATATGTAAAGTAGCCTAGAATTTTCAAACTAATTAACAGTTTCAGACTTGTGGCTGGATTAAGTGAAAAACATATTTGTTACAAATAATTGTAATAGAGCTATGCCATATATCTATATGTATTTATATTTGAACGTTTATATTGATAAATATATGTATATTTACAATACTTACTCATTAATAAAAAACATAATTTAGATTTTTCACAAAATTATTGAGTAAATTGTAAATTAATTAATTCATTAAAATTTAAAAAAAATATATTTTAGTAGAACATAAAAAAACGTAATCTAATACATTATCTTAAAAAATTTCACACCCCTCTATTTCTCTGTCCATAATTGTTTCAAAAGGGCATTTAATTCTTGAGCTTGATATAATTTCTTATCCTTATTTCTGCTCGATAATTTATATCATATCAATCGACCCAACTATGCATGTATTTGTTTTGTCACGCCCCTATCTTCAAGCCGCAAACTAATTGTAATTTATAACAATATTTAAACTAACCATGGCCAGTTGTGGCGCCAACTCTCCAAAAAGGCTTTCGATGTGCGCGGCAAGAAGCAGCGATATGCGGACTTTAACAGTAAATTTGTGGCTGTGCGTGGCAAGAAGAGTGCGCTGAGCGATGCCAATGGGGCAGCAGAGGAGAATTTGATTCAGCCCTGGGTCTATGTCATCGGTGGCAAGCGGGCGCCCAGCGGTTTTCTTGGCATGCGAGGCAAGCGTCCTGGTAAGTGATTCAACTCTAACGTACGACCTTGACCAGGTGTGCATATAGTGTGGATTGTTCCATTGCAGCCCTGGTGGAGTAAGCGAACGGGATGGACGGAACGGAACTGGTGGCACAGATAGGCGAGCGCTTCCTCATTTACATTTGACGAATGACAGTCGGAAGTTCCTTTTAAACTAGGCAAATACAATGTTATAAATAATCGCTGGGCTGGAGATTATTTAGAACGTGAGCACACACACACACACGCACAACAGACACACACACTCACAACTCTATAGACAAGATTTCCTCTGCAACATAGGCTTAATCATTTCGATGTAAAGTTAGCAAAAAAAAATTAAAGCTAATTAAATTAATGTGGTATATGAATTAAATTATTTGCATATATACTTGTGGACAAATTAATCAAAATTAAAACTTGGCTAAGTACTTCGTGGACATATCTAAAATCGATTTTATAGACAGATACAAACACATACACACAAAGACACCTACATACACACACATTCAGAGCTGTTTAAGTGAAAGCGAGATGTTAATTTATTTGCAATTTATTTATGATAACGGTAATTGAAAGCAAAACTACATACACAAACGATAAAGAACAACTAACTTATATATATATCAAATATATATACATGCATAAATATATATAGCACAAATGTCTAATTGATTATTGTAAATATTGTATGGTCTGCAAATAAAATGAAACTATTATTAACAATACAATAAATGCATTTATATTCATTTATTTCTCATCTGCTCTTCTCATCTCTGGCATATGTAAAATATTTAAGTACATCTGGTTTAAGGCACAGCTGCTGTCAAGCCTCATCGACATCTTCAAATCTCCAATGTGAAACCTTATCAACAATGACTAACAAACAATACATAATATTTGAACATGTCAAGTCCACTTAGCTAGAAACATATAAAAGTGCTCTGTTGTTTCACTAGGTGATAGCAACTATACCGATCTTACACTGTGAGTTGAGATTTTAATTCTAAACTTGATTGAGCAGCTAAATTATATAATTATATAATCGAGTGTAGACAAATAGGGCAAGTTGCTTAAGAGCTGAGATTCCATATTCAAAATAGTTCTTATTTTTTTATACAATTAAAACATAAACCTTCTCAGTTGTTCCACTTTTATTTATTGCAGCTACACAAATCTTATACCACAATTGTGAAATTAGATTTCAAACCTGAATTTAAATAAAAAAAAACCTAATTTATAAAAGCAGTGAGTGCAAACAGTCTAGTCTACTAAGCTGTTTAATATTAATATTCCAACAAAATAGTTCTTTTTTATTATAAAAATAAAACATTAAGCATAATTCTAAGAAGAAGTAATCGAAAAACAATAACAGCTTACAGACTTATACATATGCATTCATATATATATACAGGTACTTGTCAACTACCTAAATAAGTACCTACAAATTTTACATACAAACAAAACGCGATTTGTGCACAATACAACCGTTTTCAAATACTATATGGACAGACTTTTAATAAGGCAACTCCGAGTAACTGAGTTTGTGAAACAAACGATACACCACTGCGCATTTGAATGGGATAACAGCAGAGACGCTCAGGTAGTGCAAACCGAAACATGTGTTTTGCTTACAAAGAACCATAACATTTGACCTCGCCCATTGTGATTGATGGCGAAACTCAATAGAGCGTGGCTAGAATTTTGTGCTGTGCAGTGTAAACACTTATCGGCGATCTGTCGGGCACTTTCACAATTATTACACGAATTTTGCATTTAATGGTGCCTGCGCAGCAAAAAGTTCTCTGGCATCGTAAAGAGAGCACAGCTTGAGAGAGCCGAAGACAGAGAGCGAGCGAGAGAGAGAGAGTGTCAAAGCTCGAGCCGGCGGCTCATGAAGCGCCGCTCTCAGCGCTTGCGACGGCATCGATCACAGCTTATAAATAGCAGAGCTGAGCGAGTTCTAAGCCAGTTACTTTTCAACAGCCGTTCAAACAACGTCAACTTCGTACGCAACGTCAAATTGTTAGTATTCGTGAGCGTCTCTTCTGTTAGTGTGTGTATGTTTGTGTGAGTGTGTGTGAAGAGGACTCAAAGAAAATGTTCATGGAGCTGCGCACGCATAAAATGCGACTTGCTTGGCTGATAATTGTTATGTGTGTCAATTTGGCAAGACAATAAGATTTAAAATAGTTGAAGAGTAATTAATCCAGCTATTGACGTTGTAATTAGCGTCTGCAGGCGGTGGAAAATTTCCTCCTCTTGTTGTATTGCCAAACAACTAAACTAACTGTCCACATTCACATTCACCTACATTTTCCACAATCCATGCGACGGCGGGTGCAGTTTGGCATGGAAAAACCAGTATTTTCAATTTGGATTTCGTCGCTCATCTCGAATGTCAGCTTAGACAGCTGTTCAGCTGTTCGGCTCGAATCAGTGAAATTTCTGTGCATCTTTCTTTATATCAAAAACTTTCTGTTTGTTTTTTGGTTTGTTTTTAGCTTCAAATACTGTGATTATTGACAACATTCAAGATGTTGAGACTCTGGGCAAGCCTGCTCTTGGTCTGCGCCGCACAGGCGTCACCATTTTACAGCGAGTAAGTAAAAAATACAACAAAATTTGAAATTAAAAAACATAAAATATTTAATTTATGCTTGTGTGGTTTTTGTGTAATTGGCAATTGCATTCCGTAGTTCATGTATAACTCATGTAGTTAATGAGTGTTTTTTTTATTCGAATATAGTCAATTTCATATGGTAACAATGGGTGGCTCGACAACATCATATTTACAGTTACAGAAAATTAAAAAAAAAAAAAAACAAACAAATCTGGCTTACATTATTATTAGATTTCGTTAAATTAATTTTTTTCATACTTCCATTTCGGTTCATTTATTTTTATTATCCCATTAAATGTAATATAACAAGCTTCAAAAAATTGTAGTGTCTAACGTGTTTTGGAATTTTCTCGAACAATTATAATGCATGCCTTCTTTACAGTGTTCGTTCGAATTCAATTTCCAGTGCTGATAATGAAATCAGTTCATCAGAGTCTTACAGGTGAACTACTCATATGCCCACTGTGCACACTCCCAGCATTTAGCAAGCTTGTCCCAAAACAAATACGGAACCACCGTTCCACTCATAATCCCAGCCATACTCTGTTCTCTTCCAATATTGATCTGTCAATCCGAACTTTTGTTTTATGTTTTTGTGACCGTGGACAAGCCGTAATAGCCCCTCTAATTGAGAGTTTAGATATTTATAGTGTTTGTTCTAGCACTTTACTGGTTTGGCTTGGTGAAATTTCACCATTTACTACGTTGACTTGGCAAATACGAAACGTGTTAACATTATAGCAAATAAAGTGAACCAAACAGAAATGGCTCAACCGCAAACGAATACAAAGCAAAACAGAAAATTAAAATAAAACAATTTGTTGTTTTTTTTTTGGTACTAAATCAAGAAACGTAAAGAAAGTCAAATTGTGACCCAAATTTAAAACTTAAATCTGAGAGCAGGCCGGCAAAAATGACAAAATCACCTAAGTAAAAAGATGTCGAGAGATGACGAGACTTTGAATTCAGCCTAAATATACAAGAATTACCTTTGTGTTCGTGAAAATATTAGATCAGTACCACACAAAAGATAAACATACTTATTTGTATGTATGTATGTACGTATACTTTCTGGTCTGTTAAGAACTTCTTCGCGCTGCTTTCCCAACCCAAAATGTGAATGTCCAATTACTAACTGCCAAAGAGATTGTTCAGTTAAGGCGATAAGCGCAGAGAATCGCGATCGAAAATTGGCACACGAAATCGCCTCAAAGATCATTTAACCCTGCAGTTCAAGTTTTTTGCGAAAGGCATTGTGCAATCAGCAAGCATTGAGAAAATGAAGAAGAAGCAGCAGAAGTGGAAGAAAAAGAACAACAACTGCAGCCGCTCAGTTGAGAACAATGTTCAAGCAAAGTGGGTCAGCGGCTTTAGGGCATCCGTGAAAGATGCAATTGCAGATGGAGATGCAAATGCAAATGCAGTGGCGGGATTTGACAGATGATCGTCGTTAGCGAGTCGAGGGGCTCGTTTACACATGGCTGATTGCAGCGAGAAACCTTAAACACCAGCTGTAGGGTGTAGTTGGATAACTAATTCAAATAGCTGTCATTAATTTTGACACGATTTGCGCTGCGTGGGGGGAGGCAGGCAAAATTTGGCTTGACATGGAGCAAATTAGCTGCTGACACCTCATTAGATGCAATTTTTGGGAGCAGCTAACGCCCCAAATTTAATGCTCTGCCGACAAATTTAAAAGCTCCAAAACTGGGTCAGCCAGAAACCTGCCCCGTCTGCTCCTCTCTAGCGTGCTTAACTCGTTTGGTTCTCCTCCATGGCAGAACCTTAATCGAATCACAGTGGCACTGCCTCCACTCGCCCACGGCCCATCGACTGTGGCCAACGACTTTCGCTTTGGTAGTCGAGACGGCGTTTTATTTAATTTACCAGTTCCTGCCTTTATTTACTGCTCACAGTTTTTTTTATTGTGATGTTATGCATTCGTTATACATTGGAAACTTCCAGAACTTTCTTGCCTTAATTATGACCTCGCAAACTTTCCCAAATGTGTTGAGGCTTTCGCATGACAGATTAAAATGCGATTAGAGCTCATCGATTGAGGCATCAATTCTATTAGTCTCATATTTCTTAGGAAAAACAATAATTATAATTTACAGTCCATATATAATTAAAAATTATTTACAAACAAATTATCAAAGTTTCTTTTAATTTAAATCAATCAAAATTTATTTTTATATGTATTTTTACTTATTTATATTTTATGCATATATACAAATCATTGAAGCTCAGTATTAAAGTATAGTGATATATAATATATGTTTTAAATATGCATTTATAAATTTAGAACTTGTTTTTTGTTTCAAAAGTGCTTTTATAAATTATTCATACACAAATCTTTGAAGTTCAATATTAAATTATTTGAAAATATTAAAGATTCTACAATTCAAAAATCCAATTTTTTCATTTATAATATCGAGACCAGATCATTTTTACAATTTTTAAATTTATTATTTACAACATTCTTTAAAAGTCAATATTTAATGAATTAAAAAACAAGCCAATGCTCTATTTTTAGATTCATAGATCGTAATTTACCCATAATTCAACTAAGTTCAACGCAAGTCAAATTTAAAAAATTTCTCTTTTCTTTAACAATTGGCAAAAACAAACTTCAAAAAACAATTGCCAGCCACTATGCCTAGGAGTTTCTCCCAAAGCTACATATATATGAATCTCCCTATATGAGCAGTTCAAAAAGGCCAACGGGTCCAAGTTGAGATCAAGTCAGGTATCGTCTTCGTAAAAGGCAGTTCGTGATATGCTCGACATATATATGTACATAAGTATTTGTTGTATAAACAACTTTAGAGTTTATTTTGATGTCTTTTAAGCCCTCACGTCATGACTCATGTCAGATAAAGATATCATAAAAAAAAATATATATATATATATATATATATATATATATATATATATATATATATATATATATATTCTGAAGTCTGTCGTAACTTGCCGCTAACTGAGCATGACAGCTATAAAAATTTTGTTAGGTTTGCCATTTCAGACATATTATTTGAAAACAAAATGTTCATATATACATATACATATGTATATATAATTCATTTGCTCTTATAATGTCTTTTATATTTTTAATTAACTTCCGTGTCGCGCATTTTTAATGAGCCCAATCAACAAAGAAGGTCCCGAAAATCTTACAGACACTTCAAGTATATATATTTGTATATATATATATAGCAGTGGGTGCCAATTGCGAGCTGTATATAGGAAAAGTCAGTTAACAAGTGACTGTTATGGTTTTGTCAATAGAAAGCGGGCTGGTATTGGCTTGCACGAGGCATGCGAATGAGTCATACTATGGAGTTAGCGCTACATATAAATAAATTTTAGTTTTTTGGTGTTGACTTCATTTTCGAACACATATAAAATCGGGAGACATAAATTCTATTTGATTGATGATGCCAGAGTGCAGCTCATTGTTGTATTTCTTTTTGGGAATTTATGCAAGTTTGTTTCAGAGTAATTTTCATTTGATTTGTATAGTATTAGCTATGGAGGCGGGCAATTAGTATGCGGCGCACAGAAATGCTGCGCAAAACAATTGCTAAACAATGGGCACGATCAGGCCGTATACTATATAATATATATATATATACGCTATATGTGTATATAGCCAGAGAGAATGTCGAGTCGGGCCGGAGCTTCTTTTATGTGCGAGACAATGGAAGGCATATGAATTATGGTGGGGATCCGCTTTAGGGATAGTTAAGATCTGGTGTGGAATTCGCATGAAACGGCACAAAGCACACACACACACACAGCAAATACATGCCAACACGCACTAATCAAACTAATCAAAAAATACACTCCACTTCCACTGCGCAACTCCTCAACAGCTTTATGCAACATTTAACACGACCATTACCGCTGCATCGCACGCTGTTTGCGCCCATACCATTTGCACCACTCGCACCGCTAGAACCACTGCATGCTAAGCCGTCGCAGCGTGTGGCCAGCGTCTGGGCAGCGCCCCCGCCGGCCCCGTTGGCGGCTCAGCAGCCACGCCCACAAGCCTTAGCTAATGCGCCACTGTTGCCACTCTACAGTAACAGCTATGGAAGCGACAGCATCAGCGACACGGAGTTCGTGCCACTGGAGCAGCAGGGACGACATGATGCGGCAGCAGCCTCAACACAGGGCGTGGAGCAGAAGCCGTTCAGTAAGTGAAGAGAATCGCATACAAAGGCAGTTTAAGGCAATATCTATATTTTTTTCTCTCTCTCTCTCTGTCTCTCCCTCTCTCTCTCCATAGCTGTTGATGCGATCACCACGGACGTGAACTCTCCCAATCCAGCCGTCTTCTTCCAGCAATCATTCCCATTCTTTGGCAATGAGTTCTTCAACTCGTTTGGTGGATTCGGATTTGGCAACAGTCAAGAGCCTTGGTGGAAGGGGTAAGTTGATCATAGAAGACAAATGAATAATATAGTATGTATTATTTTATCACAATATCCAATTTCTAAAATGGCTCGTTAGTTTGTTTCGACAATTAAAAATGATGATGCAGCATTTATTCTTGGGGATTTACAAGTGAAAATTTTACATATAATAAATCATGACTGATGATATAATATACAGCACAAAATATTTGTATACCCTGAACCCATTTTCATCAGGGTATAATGGTTTTTAAAACAGAAATTATATATACCCGACTTCAGTTTTATAGGATCTACTATAGTTGAACTTAGTGTACTTTAAAGACTTCCAATTGGAATCCAATTGTTTTGGTCAATAATAAAATGTAGAGTTGTGTGTAGAAAATACGATAAAAACAAGTTGGTTTATTTCATATATGTGGCATACTCCTTGATAAATATTTTACCATTGTCGAATTGGATTTTATTTAATGAATATAAAACTCTCTAGCAAAATGAATGGATTTATTAAAATATTCAAGTTCTCTACAGAATATCTGATTATAATAATTCCAATTTGAGTTAATATGTAAATATCTAAATAAATGTTATTATGCCTATTTTAAATTTGTACAATAGTCTATGAAATATCCAAACTAGACATTCTGAACCAAGACTCGTTAATAATCGTCTGTACTCCAAAGTCAGCAGTCAAATTATCGCACAATATTCTTTCCAGATCTTTCAGTCTAACTGCGCACAATTCTTATATATATGTATATTTTATATACATATATAGTAGATACTTCGCATTTCTGATATGGTCACTTGATTCGGGTCTTTCCTAATCGCTTCGCACGGCTGATTTTGACGTTCTTGACATTAGGTAATTAAGCATAAGCAAAGTCAAGTTCATTAGAGCTATTAAATTTATAAGTCTGATTTGTAATGTCTCTCTCGCATTATCGCCAATTGATGGAACCTCTTCGAGAGCTGTCTGATGTGATCAACAGCAAATCGAAGAGCGTGATTAACTTTATACTTATAATTTTGTAATAACATTCACTTTCAAGGCAGCAACAACAATAATAATTGTTTAACTTGACTTGAGCACCTGCCCCGGCCGATTTCTCAATTAATTGCTAAATTGCTTATATTGAATGCATTAACTGGTACATATATGTATATTTAGCTATATATCGTGCTATCTTTATAGTTGTCGTTTGCATTTTTCTAAATTGTGATTCAAGCAAAATTGCGAAATCAATTGGAACCGAGTGCATTTGTATTTGTGGAACCGAGAACGAAAGTCAGACGCAGCAATTGGAAAATTAGCACTTTATAAAAGTAGTATATAAATATATGTGTGTATATACATAAACCTATATAAATCTATATTGATATATGTATAGGCAGGCCGAGAAATTTCGAAAACTATGCCCCATACAATGGTCGGCTTTGTGGCGCACACATACACATAATTGAATTGAAGGCAGGCAAAGTTGTTAAGCTGTTAATTCCACACATCATTGTATATACAGATATAGTAGATAATGCCTCGACGGGTACCCCATAACTATATAACCATGTGAACAAACGTATCTATATATGCGAATCCATAAAGTAAACAACCATCAGTGCGCTCTCGCATTGATGGGCAGATAGTAAACATCGTCGTTCATGGGGTGCGCCTATTGGATGATAACTGTACAGGCTCCATAGCTACACATGCACTTGGATAAGCACATATACATATATGTATGTATTTATTATATATTGTGTTCATCTAGATAGTTCTGGCGAGTGCATTGACTTTTCATTTGCCAGTTAGCAATTTGCCAAAGGCATTAACAAGTCTAAGCTTAGTATGGTATAGGTTTACTATTTAGATGATGAGGTAATATCTCAAGAACAGAATTGTAGCTACATATAGGATTATGAACAGATCAATTATATTAAACTTAAATATTATTATGCAATGTATGAACAACCCTCAAAAAACATAATAACATAATAGACCTCGGCTAAACTTCAAACTATATAGTATATATAGTCATTTTAATTTAAATACATATACAGATATTTGTATACTCTGAACCTATTGACAGCAGAGGCGAGCTGAAGTGGTCTGACAAATGACCCTCGGTCCGTATCCTTATGTCCGTATAAACGCAGCAATCTCGTAAACCACAACAGTTAGAGACAAGAAATGCTTACATCTACCATAAGCACTACAAGTTGATTATTTTTCCCTTAATTCATCCCCGCTTGCTTATTACCGATTATCAATCATTCTACTTTGTTATTTACATCCGACCGTCCTTCGCTCAGAGCATTTCAGAGTATTCCCCGTACGCAGTAAACAGAGCGATATGGTTGTTATTAATGGATTTAGCTCGCTGATCGATAAGGTACGCAAGGGAATTCAATTAACTTTAATCAACCCAAACAATTTGTTCCAAAATATATGAGAATTTCAATTGGCGATTTTAAGGCATAATGGTTTTATTAAAATATATAAACGAGTCCTGATAGAGCCCTTAAAGTATAAATATGCTTAATTGGGACGGGGAATTAAAACGATCTAATTATGCCAGTCCGACCGTCTATCTTTACATATGATCGCAGCAATCTCGAGAGTCACATAAGCCAAGGACTTGAAATTTGAAATGTATACTCGTTATATCATACGCATTATTCATCTTGAATAGCTGAAGAGCTTCAGATTTTAGATTACTGCATTGAACTGTCAGCTCTTTACAAAGTTCAAGGTATCTCCTAGTCGAGCAGTCTCTACTCTTTATTAGCAATGCAGATAATACACACGATTTCTGGTTAATGTTGTGTATTATGTAATGTCTTCATTTAGTTTCTCCATTTCTCATCAGAAAACTAATTTGTTTGCTTTGCATATTCCCGCAACCCATTTACTTGCAGACCCAATGTGTGCACCGAGAAGGAGGAAAGCGATGGCGCAACCACGGAAACAGACGGTGATGAGGCCGTGGACAGCTTCGGTCAGGAACGTGACGGGGCTGGCAGTGTGGTCCGATCGCCACTGTTTGGCCAGTTCCACTTCAGCGTGAACTCCTGTGCCGAGAAGCCGAACAAGCACGTCTGCACCAAGATGTAAGTGGGGCAACATGAGCCACCGTTGGCACCGTTGCGTATACTTAATTTGCGATTCATTCGTTTCCTCATTCCATACAGCGTCAATCAAAATGGCAAGAAGAAGATGGTGACTATGACACGCCAGTGCTGCTATGGCTATGGACGACCACGCAATGCGGACTTCACGGTTCCCTGTGAGAAGATCGAGATCAAAGACATCGCCGCCACTGCCGCCGACATGGGAGCCCAGCAGTTCATTGAGAGCGCCAAGAGTGCCGGAGAGCTGGGCAACATGCTGTCCAACTCCCAGGGCAAGAAGCTGACTCTCTTTGTGCCCAACGACGCCGCCTTCCAGGAATACCGCAGCCAGCATCAGCAGGAGAACGTGAGTGGACATTAATAACCCCCAGCCAAGTGCCCGCTAAAACTATTTTCTACTCTCCCATTTAGAACGTGGATGACTCCAAGGGAGAAGGTTCCCAAATGTCATCGATCCTCAAGCTGCACTCCGTGCAGGGCGAGGTGGAACTGGAGGACGTGCCCAACGAGAAACTGCTGCAGAGCGAGCTGACCGGCCAGAAGATACGCATCAACACCTATCAGCTGCCACCGGCTCTCGGTCTGGAGCCCTATCGCTACGCCGCCAACTGTGTGCCCATTGTGCAGCACGACAAGCTCTCCGAACAGGCCCTGGTGCACACACTCAACGGCGTGCTGAAGCCTCTGACCAAGAACGTCATGGATTTAATACGCGAGCGCGCAGACATGTCCATCATGCGCACCGTGCTGGAGAAGACCAACATCAGCGCTCTGCTGGAGGGTGATAAGCCCGTCACCATCTTTGTGCCCACGGATGCCGCTTTCGATAAGCTGGAGCCACATCTGCGACGCGCCCTTAAGGAGGGACGCGGCTGCGCCTCCAGTAAGTAGCAAAGATTGACTGCAATTCCTCGCATCGAGTCCCTTTATTGATTGTCTTGCCTTAGATATACTGAAGAATCACATTCTGGACCTGACCTTCTGCTCGTTGGCCACGCTACCGGGTGCCAAGACAACCACCTATAATCTGCTGGGAGAGCCACTGCTGCTGAACCGCACCAAACATGTTGCCAACCAAACTGAGCCGTCGGCCATCTACATCAACAATGCCGCCAAGATTCTGGACGCTGATATAATGGGCACCAATGGAGTGCTCCATGTGATTGACACCATTCTGCCCACGGATTCGGCGCTGCCCATGACCACTTTGCTGTCGCAGAAGAACATAACAATCTTCAAGCGCCTGCTGGAGGCGTCTGGCCTGGACTATCAATTCGACGATATGGACAACGTCACAGTCTTTGCGCCCACGGACAAGGCGCTGCAGCACTCGGAATGGGCGCGCAAATTGGCCGAACAGCCAGAGTCTTTGAAGGACAACAAGGACTTGGCTGAGTTCCTCAACTATCATGTGATCAAGCCCATGATCAAGACCTGCGATCTCTCGGAGAGTTTATTGCCAACGGTGGCGGGCTCCAATGTTCGCCTGAATCTCTACTCAACCCACGCCCTCTTCTCGGACGTCATGAATAGAGCAACCGTGAACTGTGCCCGCCTGGTGCACTTCGATGACGAGAGCTGTGGCTCTGTGCTGCATCAACTGGACCGCCCACTGACTGCGCCCAAGAATGTAAGATTAGAGATGCAACTACGACTTGAGCCGTGCCTAATCTAGTTTATTTCCTTTTACTCATAGAATCTGCTCCAATCACTGGAAGCCAATCCCAACTACAGCAAGTTCCTGGAGCTGGTGCGCAAGGCCAATCTGACCCACCTGTTGGCCAACGAATCGGATAGCTTCACGCTCCTTGTGCCCAAGAATGATGTGTTTGAGGAGTTCAGCGAGTCCACCGAGACCAAGCCCGCCCAGAGCCAGGCCGAGCTCGAGGCCCAGGTCAAGACACACATTGTCAACGATGTTGTCTGCTGCGCTGGTATCATACCCACCAACTGGCCATTCGTACGCTCCATCGAATCCATTTCGGGCCAGCATCTGCGCATCACCCGTGACCGTCGACCCAAGATCGAAAATGCCGGCGTGACAAAATGCGATCTCATCGCCACCAATGGAATCCTGCACGAGATTAACGACATCATTGTGCCTAGGTCGCCGCCAGCGCAGCAGCATCGACCACGTCCCCACATCTATCAGCCCCCCCGAGGCGACTTCGATGTATTCTTCTAAAGATCGATTGTCGCAAATATCTCTGTGTATCTCTAACTTTCCCTAATACATATATGCATCTATATATATATTTATATTATTTAATAAACTTTTGTCATTGATTGAAAACTCACATTATGCAAACAATAAATGCAGTTAGTTATCTTTCTGATAAATAAAATACATAGAATTAAAAAAACTACTTTTCACTTGACCAACAATTTTTAAGTATATAAGAATTTCATAATGATTGCTATAACAGTTCTGAAAGAACCATCGTGTGAGCTTTACCCATCAAATCTCCGGAAGATCTGAATTTTATACATATCATACGATTATATTAATTATGATGGAGCAAAATCTTAAACTATAGACGAAACAGGTTAGTTAATTTGCATTTCCATGTTTCAACTAAATCTAAAAACTATAAATCCTGATTTTTATTGGTTATACTTTAATTATTATTATTATTTTACTTATTTTTTTTATTGTTTTTTATAATGAAAAAAAAATATATTAGGAAATGTGATTTATGTTTGTTTATAATTGTTATAATTCATATTTTATTTATCTAATTCGCTTGACTCGCAAAACAAAATACCAAAGCAATGCAAAGAGGAATGAATCTCTTATTGGGCAGAATCATATTTTAAATAAAAAAGAGAGCTTTTAGAGGTGATAAGTGTTCCCTGTTTCTCGCTCTCATAGTTCAAGAGATTCCAAGCTTAACTAGAATATGCACCGCAACTTAAAAAGCTTCAGTTTGGCAAAAGCTCACTCACTCTCTCTGATCTATGTAATCGTGTAGGGAACAGTGTGTGTGTGTGCTGCATTTGAGTGCGTCTATAAGTATTCCAGGCAGTGCAGTGGAAGGCTCAGTTTAATTTAGACTTCAGCAATGACGGGAACACTTCCAGCTACCTTCGTAAAGGGCTTCCACAATGAAGAGCTGGTTCACCGCATGGAATACCGCAAGTTGGGCGGCACCAATTTAAGAGTATCGAAAATTGCATTAGGCGGGGCCACATTGAGTGCGCTCTTTGACAAAAAATTCGACGAAGAGGAGGGCATCAGGACCGTGCAGGAAGCTATTAAGTCGGGCATCAACTATATCGACACTGCGCCGTTCTATGGCCAAGGTCAGTCGGAGCAGGTGCTAGGCAAGGCGCTGATGGATGTCCCAAGGGAAGCGTATTACATAGCCACCAAAGTGGGACGCTACGAACTGGAACCCGATCGCATGTTCGACTTTACTGCGGCGAAAACACGAGAGAGCGTCAAGAAGAGCTTGGGTCTGCTGGGCCTGGATTATGTGGACGTGTTGCAGGTGCATGACGTGGATGCGGCGCCCAGTCTTGATCTAGTGTTGAAGGAGACAATTCCTGTGCTTGAAGAGTTTGTGAAAGCCGGCAAAGCGCGTTTCATTGGCATCACCGGCTACGATGTAGACGTTCTCAAGGAGTGCGCCGAGCGAGCGAAGGGTCGGGTGAACATAGTCCTGTCCTATGCTCGCTATACGCTTCTGGATAACACTCTGTTGCGCCACATGAAGGCATTCAGGGAGCTGAATGTGGGCGTCATCTGTGCCGCAGCCCACGCGCTTGGCCTGCTCACCAATGCTGGCCCACAGGCCTGGCACCCCGGCAGCCCGGAACTGCAGCAAGTGGGTCGACAGGCCGCCGAGATTTGCAAGCAGCGTGGCGTGGAGCTGGGCAAACTGGCCATGTACTACTCCACGCAGCTAGAGGGCGCCGCGACCTTCTTGATCGGCATACCCAATCGACGTCTGCTGCAGGTCAATCTGGATGCGGTGCTCAACGGCTTGAACTCCGCCGAGCAGGAAGTGCTGCAGTATCTGCGGGAAAAGTGAGTAAACCCGTTTTTCCGTTTTGCGAAATTGTGCAATTCGGATTTGGTGTTAGCATTGCGTCAGAGCCCCACGAACTTGGCCTATGTTAACCGGTTTGCAGTGGAAGTGGAACTATCCAATTGTCTTCTCATATCTCTTGCAGTGTTTTCAAGCAGTCCTACAGCTGGGGATCGACGTTGTCGACGGTCAGGGACTTTAAATAAATCCGCCATGTCTACTTGTGCGAATGCTGGAATAGCTTTAATAACAAATCAAATGTGTTTCTAAATTGAATATAAATTTGAATATATATATCTACACCTATAGTTGTATATACTTATATATATATATGTACATATATGCCCATATGCTATATATGTATTAGATCAGCTTCAATATCAGCTCAAGTTCAGTCGCTATTTCATTTATTTGTTTACCTGTCAGCGTCTATCAAAATAGATGCATATATATTTTCTATTTTTAGCAACTAAATGCACTTATGTATTCCTATCGTCAAACAGAATACCAACAGCGAAATTATATACCCTGTATTCTTGTGACATTTCATATTTAATCTGTGAATCTCCCGGAGAATTTAAGCATTTCGTTTCGTTTTCCTGACTAACCGTCTGAGTGGAAAATTTAAATTCATGTATATGCAGATGTATAACTACAGAATACAGTTAAATTAAATATATATATACTTGTAAATATACATATATATGGCTATGAAAATATTCATAAATATTTATGTATGTAAGTTTAAAAAAAGAAAGAGTTAAGCCATGGTTAAATGGTTTTATACCCTGAACTCATTTTCAATGGGAAATCAGGGTATAATGGTAGGTAGGTAAGTATGTAACAGACAGAAGGACGCGTGGCAGACCCCATGAAGTATACATTCTTGATCAGGGCGACGAGCTGAGTCGATTTGGCGTGCAGAATTATACATACATATATTAATATTATACTAAAACTAAAATATTTTGTCCGCATTTTTACAAGATAGAGGAAGAGATGTATACATACTTATATAATTATAAGAGTCAAAATCTGTTCTCGTTTGAAGATACATCATTCACTCATCCATATGTCTGCTCTCGTATTTAACCGGACTTCGGTTGATCCAGCCCTGTTAAAAGTATTCAATTCTCTCTTTGCTTTCCAGATGTTTTCGTTTATAATCTAGCACTTCTCACAATCACACTAACACGCATGCAAAATCATTCCCGTTCTCTGATAGTGAAGCAATAAGAGCTGAGTGCTGGGCCGCACCAATTTATTGTGGAGTGTTGTTTCTTTGCGAATTGGACGGCGAATTGTGACGGCTAAAAATAAATCAATATGTCCGGAAAGTTACCGAGTACCTTTGTCAAGGGTTTTCACGATGAGGAGCAAGTGAGGCGAATGGAATACAGCACGCTCGGCAAAACGGGTCTGGAAATCTCTAAAGTTGCTTTCGGTGGCGGAGCTCTTTGCTCTAACTATGGGTATGCGTGAAAGAGAATGATAGATCGGAAATTTATCATATGTATTCTTATTGCTACAGCTTCGATCTGGATGAGGGCATAAAAACAGTTCACGAGGCGCTGAGAGCTGGCATCAACTACATCGACACGGCGCCCTGGTATGGCCAGGGCCGCTCAGAGGAGGTCCTCGGCAAGGCATTGAAGGATGTGCCAAGGGAAGCCTACTACATAGCAACCAAGGTGGCACGCTATGAGCTGGACTACGAAAACATGTTCGACTTCAGCGCACGGAAAACTCGTGAGAGCGTGGAGAAGAGCCTGCAGCTGTTGGGCCTGGAGTACGTGGATGTCATACAAATACACGATGTCGAGTTTGCCGAAAACTTGGACATAGTTCTCAACGAGACTTTGCCCGCGCTGGAACAGTTGGTTAAGGAAGGCAAGGCCAAGTTTATTGGTCTATCCGCATATCCTCTGTCGGTGCTAAAGGAGTGCATATCCCGTGCCGAGGGCAGATTCGATGTAAGTAGCACTATTTACCCTATGAAGATTTGCTCATTCTACCCGATTCACATTCTAATTCTGATTCCCAGACTGTGCTCACATATGCACGCTATACGCTTCTGGACAACTCCTTGGTCGACTACTTGGACTTCTTCAAGTCCCAGAATCTGGGCATCATTTGTGCAGCTGCCCATGCATTGGGTCTGCTTACCAATGCCGGACCCCAGCCCTGGCATCCGGCTCCCGATGACCAGAAGGCGATAGCACGTCAAGCTGCCGAGGTGTGCATTAAGCGGGGTGTGCAACTGGGCAAGCTGGCCATGTACTATACGAGTCAATTGCGTGACGTATCCACCTTTCTGGTTGGCAATCAGACGCGGCAATTGCTCCACACGAATCTGGCTGCCGTTTACCACGGTCTCAGCCAGCAGGAGCAGGAAGTGCTGCAGCATCTCAGAGAAAAGTGAGTGGTGGCCAGTCGCACTCGGAAGTTGACCGAAATTGTGCAACTCGGATACAATGTTACTGTTGCATCACATCCGACTCCATTTGCAGTCGCAGCCAAAGACAGAGACAACAACAATTCACAGCACCAGAGACAGAGACAGCAATAGGCACAATTTGCAGTCTCGATCCGAGTCAGAGCCGGCTGCCATTAGTTGTCCATTTATGTGCCCACTCATTGTCAATCTTGGCCATCGGTGCAGTAGGCAGCCAGCGACTCTCTCGAGATATTTCCATCTCTTCATGCATTGAATGTTGCTGTTGTTGTTATTGAACTTGTTTTGGTTTCGTGGCACAATCTAATTATGTCCAATCCATTGCAATTTTATGACTGTTTTTGCTTTAAATTTATCGCTGACCAAATTCAATGATCTCTCAAATTTACATAATTTTATTTTTCAGCATCCTGGTTAAATCCTCTCACTGGGAGGGCATCGAACTGGAACGCTATTGGGCTGCACTGAAAAAGAAATAGATTACATTTTCATATATATATTCAAAAAATGAATAAATACAGAGATTTTTGCTAAATATTCTACATGCTTTGATTTTATTTAAATTTCCAATTTTAGAATAATTATATGGTTTAGAAAGCTTTTTAATATAAATATATACTATATTACTGCGGTGATATTTGTATTCGTTTATTCTTTTAAAATTATTTTATATAATATACTTAACATTTTTTTTTTAATATGCTCTGATTTTTGTAAGTAAATTATTTTTGTTTTTGTCTTTTAGGTAGGCCAAAAAACTTTACAAGATTTAAAAACATTCTATTGTACCTTTCAGTCGTCCTCTTGTATCTTTCATGAGCCTTGAGCTTGAAGGATGAGTCCTTCTATGAGCTGAATGTAGACCAAGTTTTTCAGTCGCAAAGCCTTTTTAGCGAAATCTCATTCATTAAATATTTAATAGTTTTACCAACTTGACCAATATTAAATTACTTTAATCTTTGTAATATTGCAAGATAAGATTATATATTAGAAAAGATAAGCAACTGAAGAATTTGGTTGATATGGTAAAAATAGAAAGCTCTTATAATCACTACCTGATATCATTTGTTAACTAGACTGGCCAATTATCATGTCAATCTGTCTATGATCAATTTAAAAGAAATCAATTATTTAACTCACTAAATGATTTAGCTTTCAAAATGCAACTTCCACCTTTCGCTGCCATGGTCACCCGCCTGAAAGCCTGAAAATGCACTAATTAAGCCTTAATTAACGCAATTTTTCAATATACCTACATACATACATCCATATACATATGTATGTATGTATGTATGTATGTATATTAAAGAGAAAAACAAGCCGCACGATTTTATGGCTCTGTGGAGAACCGTCGAAGCGCGCTGCGGTGTACAAAACGGGGAAGTTTAATAACATTTTGAATAATGAATACTCATAGCAACAAAAACAACAACAACAGCCGCAACAACAAGAAAATGCAATACGATATAAATGCACAACAAAAATCCGCACGAAAAGCGGAAATGCTGTGGATGAAGCCGCATTTTGTTTTCCTTAAGCTGCGCTTTGCGTTTTTGCCTTGCAACGATTTGCAGCCAAAGCCGAAAATATATTTTCTTTTACTTGCACTCACTACCTGCATGTATGTATGTGTGTGTATCTGTGGATGTGTGTGTGTGTTTGTGTGTACAATCGCTGCCAATAAATATAATGTTATCAATGCAACTGCTCCAACTAACTCTCCAGCTGATTGACCAGATTCTCAGTTGCGCAAGCGCTCCTTCTCACTCACCATCTCTCTCGCTCGCTGTCTCACTCTAACGCGCCACCTGTAGCCCGAGCCGAGCTTTCGGGCGACTACGTTTATATGCGCTGCGCCGTCGCACTCGAAGCGTCAGTTTCGTCTACTGCTTTGAGACGTTGGGACGTGCTCCGTGATTAGAGACAGTTGTCCGCAGTGTATTAAATAACAAAAGTCATCCTAATCCAGTGCAATATGTTCGGGCAACAAAATATGCTTTTGATTCTGCTGGGCTGCAATTTGCTATTAGCCATTAACGCATCGGGTAACACAAATAAGAAGCAGCAACAACAAAACCAAGGTAGGCAAAGCCAGACAAAGGCCCAACGATCACCGATTCACAAAAGGTGTGGAGAAATTTTCAATGCCAACTTAGGGCAGTTCTAGGCATACCAAAACAAAAGGAACCGGTTTTTGCGTATATAACGCCGCTTGGAGCCGGCGTAGACGGCCAGTAAGAGTAAACAGTGATGTGCCTAAAGTTTCTTGAACTTGTGTGATATGTTTCATAAGGTACACATAAATAACTTACCGTTAAAATGTCGATTTCCAAAAAGAAAATGCTGGAAAATGAGAAGTTTCAAAGAGAGAACACTTTCCCAAAAACAGTTAGCCCTATATACAAATAAAAATATTGTTAGTATTATTTTTCCTTATTATACAATAAATGACAGCCATATCAGAAATACATATAATCTGTTTTACCAGCTACATATATAAAGATAATTATCTCAACACATAAATCACAATCTCAATTTTGCTTGTTTCTCAGTTTTTTAAAGACCATCAATAAACAATAATTTGTTCTCATATATTTATCGAACCGTTTCAGAAATCTGGGAACAAGACCTAACGGATACTTTTAAAATTGAGGGTAGCGATCAGGGCATACAGAAGGTTAATCTGAAATGCGGTGCCAATTCAATGAATGTGATGTTAGAGACTGAGAAACCATTTACGGGCGTCATGTATACACGTGGTAGCTTCTATAAGCAAACGGCTCCGTGCTTCATGAAACCCTCAGCTAGTCAGGGAACACGTCAATTGGAAATGAGCTTCCAATTGGATCAATGCCAGACACTGAAGGATGGTGAACTGTATTCGAACATTGTGGTCATACAGAACGATCCAGAGCTCATAACGCCCGGTGACTCGGCTTTCTCGTTGGAATGCGATTTCCGTCAGCCGCGTAGCTTGGACGTCGAAGCCACCATGCAAACTAGAGACAGGTACGTTGTTTTGAAGAAGGGTGCTTCTTAATAGCAAATATTTGAATATCTACGAATACATGTACAATATATACATATATATACATGAATATGTACGATCTAAACTTAGAAATCCACAAAAATTGCGCGGAGCACGCGGTGGAGCACGCCAGCGTCAATAGAACTTCACCCTATGACTACCTATTAAGTTCTTCAACTATATTCACTTTGAATAGCTGTACTAAAGGTACAAATTCAAACTTAAACTCTTTGACTTTGCACATGTTTTAAGAAATAACATTTTAAGTAGAGCCCTACTAACAAGCACTGGACACACACCTCACACATCACATAACCACACGAGATACGTACATACATTCCACAGAATTGCGACAAAATCTAAAATTACACTGACAAGTCCCGATCCCGCGGCCCCAACGGAAAATCTACACAACTCGGTGGTCAGCAACAGTGATACAGTAGAGTATATACCAAAGTTCTCTAAACCAAACAAAACCATAAACCTGGGCACGGTAGAGGAAGTGATTTTGCCACTGGCTCAGCAAAGAGATGAGCTTTAAATAAAGACAGTAAGCATTTCTTCCTCAAACAACACACGCAATTATTACACATACAAATTCAAACTACAGGTGAGACACCAACACACGCTTTTTGCTAAAATATTTACATACTTATTTTGTTCAACACTGTGGCGATTTTGACATATTTTGATAAATCAACTAATCTTCTTCCATTCTTATAGGAATAATACACAGAACTCTACATCGGCTGCCTAAAACGGATTTCATAAATCATTTCAATAATCTGTTTTATATCTTTATCCTGTGATATTTTTTAAGTTTGGGTTTAATAAAAAAGTATTCACCAAATTTAATTTTGAGTTTTCATTTGCGCGCGAATAATAAAGCTGTCAGCAACAGAGTTGCTATGGAATAAAATGCACATCTGATATTTATTTCTAAAGATCTGGCAGCGCTACAAAGCTTTCCGTTGTCTGGCAGGCTTTGGTGAGTAAAAAATCACAATTAAATTCGCAGTTTTTATCTGGAGAAAAATATTTCTGTACTACAGGTAGATATCACATTCAGTTTTTGTTTTCGATATGAAAAACATCAAGTGTGATTATTTTGTGTAATTTGATTGCTTACAGTTTTACAAAAGCGAAAACTTTAATCAATTGCACGTCATCTGTTTGATTTCGGTATCATTGCGCATTTATAATTACACAAAGAACTGCTCAACTGAACTACCATAATTTTTAATTTAATTAGTCAGCGACTTTAATGTTTTAAAATGGATTGCCGAGTGTTTCTAACACTGCTATTCGTCCTGAGCGGCACGGTCAACGTTTTATTCGCCAAGTGAGTAAACTGACAGTGCAAAATGCGGGTCTTCCACATTGAGAAAATAATTTGCAGATGGACGAACATTCAATCATTCGAGGGCAGCGATGGAAAACCGCATCATTTCCAACATCCTGTTGTGCTGACCCTGCTCATGTTTCTGGGCGAGTATCTGTGCTTTGTAGTGTACAAGATCGTTCACCTGCTGCTGGCTAGACGCTCTGTAAGTAGCACGGCACGTTGCATTTGCCAGTTGTTAAAATGTATTTTTACATGTGCTCAATAGCTTGGCAGCGAATCGGATCTTATTTTGACCAGCGGAAGCAATGAATTCCATCCGTTGAGCATGTTGCTGCCCTCTTTTTTGCGTACAATCGCTTCCATTTTGCTGTTTACGGGATTGTACCTGACGTATGCCACCAGCTTTCAAATGATAAGAGGTAGGTTTATCAACAGTCAGCCGGGCTGCATCTCAACATCTATATATATTGTAGGTGCTGCCCTGATATTTGTGGGCCTATTTAGTACGATGTACTTGAACCAAACATTGACTACTCGCCATTGGTTGGCCATCTTCACCATGACGTGCGGCATCGTTGATATACTGGCCTTGGATGTTCAGCGGGTTGAATATGATAACCAAACGGTCCCGCATACAGATCACAATGCCATTTTAACAGGCGATTTATTGATTATAATTGCTGAAGTGTTGCACGGCTTTCAATATGTGTATGAGGAAAAACACTTGAAGGCCTCCGATATAGTGCCCATCCAGGCTGCTGGTTGGCAAGGCTTCTTTGGAATCATCATCACGATCATATCTGCGATCTGCCTGAACTTTGTACCAAGCGTTGCGCCATTTAATGAGAGCTCCCGTGGCGTCTTGGATGACCTCAGTGATCTGATTCCACAGCTTCGTGGCAACACGCTCTTAATCCTTGCGCTTGTCTGTTTCACCTGCTCCAGCGCCATTTACAACTGTGTAGGAATGTCGATTGCGAAATTTTCATCCAGTGCCAATCGTCTGCTCGCCGATGGAATTCGAGTCTACCTTATCTGGGCGTTTGTTATCTTTGCCGAGTGGGAAATTCTGAATCTCATCACACTCATGGGTCTTCTCATACTACAAATGGGTATTATTATGTACCGGCAGGCGATCTTTCTTGAGTGGTATCGTGCTCTTTTGGCACGCTGGCAGCGCAGTCGTTATTTGGACTTGAACGCAGAAGCTGGCCCTACCCCAAGCACCCAACCTGCCGATGTTATTTAAAATGTGATGGGTGAATAAGTTTGAATTGATTGTGATAAGAGAAGCGGGCTGATAGAGCTATCCAGTTGTGGGATGGATCACTAAAAATTTACTTATCAATTGTAATAGTACGAATATATATATATACTCTCAAATTTACTCACTTCTTTCTATATATCTTTCAAAAGCGATGGTATGAAGTGAATTGGAATTTATTAAAATATACATTTTATTAATTTAAAGCATCCCAAAAAACAAGATCACTTACAATTGATTTTTAAAAATATTTCGTAAATTAAATGTAATATATATGAAGAACATAAAGAATTGTTTCAACACAGTATATGTACCATCAGTTTTTTAAATATAAAAATCTACGAATGACGAGCCTGTAATCAAGGTTAGAATGAAGGTTCAGTACACCTATTATTTAAACCGTCAAGGAATACGTAATAAATTGCCAAGGTGAAAAGACGTCTGTATGTTAATAGTCTCCGCAGTGTCCTTTCATAAAGCTAGTTCATATACTAGTCCGAACTATCTAGTCTAGTCCGAATAATAATAAAAAATGGACCCTTCAATCTCCCAGCTAGAGATTGTCATATACTTTCATTTGTTAGTATAAGACAAACACAAAAGTAAGCCCTATTTTATATCAATTCCAGAAACATAATATAATGTATGTTTCAGTATGTTCTGGTAGGAACAGAGGCCACAAATTGAATCGATTTTCAAATTCTCGACAGATTGAAACAGAGTCCCGTGTATCTTCAAGTCCGAAACATTCGTTCACGGAGTAAATAGTCTTTCGTTACTTTCGCCAATAGGGATTTAAAATTCAGTGGAATTACCGGCACCTCGAAAAAAATTCCTTATGTAGATTACTGTAATACCCAGGTCACCCATAAATAAAAGTCGTGCTAAAAGCTGTCAAATAATATATAATATATTTATTTACTACAGCATATACATTTTATAAATTGTTTCGATGTTACTTATGAATATGAAAGTATAGTAAAACCAACAATTACAATAAAAATTATGCCCGCATTAGATAAAAATAAAATATTTAACAAACAAATGGAGTAATTATGTGGATGGCATCTAATTTCTTTTCGATATTCGCATTTAGTGGCGGCGCCATAAAGCCTAACTTTCCATTGAAACTGCTTCTTCTGTCGTCCTGAATAGCTAGATCATGAAAATAATCAAGGAAGTGAAACTCAATGGAGTGGAGTGTGACAAAAAACTTACATACTCGTGTCTTTGAGCTCGATAGTGATCTTTTGGCAGAATCAATTGATTAATTTGAATCTAGACAGTCTATATATGTAGTACATATAACCAAAAACTTGTGCATAAGATGTATAATTCTTTTTAGGTTGTCAATAAATCACATTAATTTATATTCTTGTGTAATCAAAACAAATAGGCTTTAAATTTAATTTATAAATGTATTAACTAAAAATGTATATATGTCGTAAAGTTATGACAGTTGTTTGTAGAAGATATCTTGCTTTAGTAGCTATGGTCATAGTCTTACTGTTTCTAACAGTTAATTCGCTCCCTAAAAGCAAACAAAAAATGCAAATTTACTAAAAATGTCTATCATATATAGGCAAAAGAACGTGCAAATTGTACTGAACTAATTATAATTTGTATAAATTGAAATTCTATATGCGATTTTATAGATATGTGTGGCTAAAATAAATATTTACATAATAATGGCATTAATAATCATAATCATAATAATAGCATTGATATAATATAATAGCATTGATAATCATTATCTTATTGTCATTGGGATAGAAGTTCTTTTGCCTGTAATAGTTTGTATTATCACCTGTATATATAAATTTAAATACCCATATATATAAATATACATATATATTATATATATTCGTATATAAAAGTATATATATGAAAGGGATAACATAATTGCATATTTCTATGGAGCGCTTTCACTTTTTACATCGAAATTAGACAGCTTTAACAGTAACAATAACAGCGTTTACGTATACATTCACATATAACATTTGAAGCAAAAGCAAAAATGCTTCTGGATAGACTTTGTCAATTACTTCTTCTGCATGCCTAGCAAGCCCTCGGCTACGCCCAAATAGTAAACGGTTTGGGCGATACCGAACAATGGAGCAATCACAATCATACGGCAAAGACCGCCCTTGAAGAATGCTGTAGGTCCTTCGTGCTTAAGAGTTTTGCTGATGGATTCAAAAAAGAAGTTAAATTTAAAATGAATTCACATATATAAATAGATTTTACTAACGTGATGCAATCGGTGATTCCCTTAAACTCCTTCTCACCATCAGCCTTTTTGATGGCCTGCAATCGAGTTTTCACCACGTCAAAGGGATTGACTGCCAGGGCTGCCGTTGAGCCAGCCGCTAAACCAGCCAAGAAGGAACACCTATTGGAATACAATTGAAAAGAGTTTAGAAACATGGGGAAAGGCTCGAACGATACTACTTACCAAAATACCGCTTCGCCAGATCCATCATTTCGCCGTGGACCCAGTTCGTTAAGAGTGGCAAAGAGTGGGAAGTAAATTACGGAAAAAGTGACGTCACGTAAGCCCGTGGCACCAATGCCCTTGTATAGACCAAAAATGCCCTTTTCTTTAAAAAGCTGCGTGGCCAATTGTGTGGCTGAAACCTTTTCAACGGTTTTGCCCGCTAATTTTGCAGCGGCAGCTACACGGCCCGCATCCTGCATTTGGATTTTCAACAGCTCCATGGGCGTGGTGACAATGATTTGGAATGCGCCTGCCAAGCCTCCAGCCAACATTTGACAGCTCATAGGCAGTTTACCATCCTTAGTGGTAAGTTTATGTCGGAAGTAATCATTCGCCGTCAGTTTAATAGCCTTTTCAGGTGTGATAAGCAAAATATTCACGCCCGAGCCTCGATACATGCCGAAATAGCCCTCTGCAGCGTATGTCTTACGGAAGCAGTCGAACCTAAGAGAGACCGTTAAAAATTACATTTGGAATCATTAAGAAATATTTTTACTTACATGCTTGAATACATCCGTTCGCCATTTGGACCGATTTGCTGGTTCTGCAACCGAGTCTTCACCAAATCCAATGGGAAAACACATGTCACACCAATAATGCCCGCAATGCCTCCGTTAATGATCTTCGGCAGCAATCTGTGAAATAGATGTGCACATAGATAGAACTTAAAATATCAAATTGTATCTTTCGATTTGTGTTGGCTAATTGACAAATATTTGCACTGCGTTAACCTTTGCATTCAATTTGCATGTGCAGCAGTAACAACAACAACAACAGTTCCCTGAGAGGCAACCTTGACATTGACATAGAAGTGCTGCTGCAGATGTTAATGATCACTGCACACAACACATCGATATATCATGTAATCGATAGTCGATATACAATTTTAAATCACAGAAATAAACAAATAACAAAAGGTAAAGGTGTACGCCAACATTTAGATTTTGTTTTTGTTTTAAGCGAATATGAAAAATAATTGGTAACATGCCAGCATAGCACACAAAAAATTCTAAGCTTTTCGCTGTTTGCCGCTATTTTTAGTTTAGCCCCACAAAATATACAAAACACAAAAAATGCAAAACAAGACGAATAAACTTATAACCATTGTAATATGCATTTTATTATGTCAAATTAATTTTGTCTGCGTATGTGTCACAATTTGTAATAAAATACAGAAAAATTATAATGGATAAACTTGTTTATTGAAGTTTAAGTGCCGACAACAATTTGCAAATTAATAACAATATATAAATTTGATATGCATGTGTTAAAAAAATGGTATATACAAATATATGTATATGATACATATAAATACATATATATGTTTGCTCATTTCTTATAACTTATGATATCAGTTGTAAATAACTTACGCAAATTGCTGCTGCTTCGGCTGTATCAGCGGTTGGTTATGGAGGATATCTTCGCTTTGCTGTTGTGTTGCTGCCATTTTCTAGAATTAAAGAACATTTTTGTAAGGGACCCGTAAGAATTTATAAGCTCGAGACAAGCTGATTGTATTTCAATTTGAGTCAACAAATAATATCAAACAGGTTGAATGACTTCTAACTGCTTTGCCGGCAATATCAAAATATATACATATAAATATGCAATACACATATACATACATACATATGTTTTTTTATATACTCACATATACATATAAATTTTATATACTAACAGGTGTTACTAAAATTGTATATTGAATTTATTTATAAACGATAAGCGAATAATTTATTTTTTTTTTTATTAAATAATTGATATTACGGCCTTAAGCTTATCTTTTTTATTCAGGAGACAAAAATAGTAGGTTCTGGTGTATCGCACTGAATGGAGAGAGGAGCGGTCCAAGGTTTATTGATATGCAACAACAGCGCGTTCTGTCTCTTCAGAGATTAGCAGCCATATCAAATTAGAGCATTTACACATTGAATTTTCACAATATTCAATCTATATTTACTTACTCCGCGTAAGTGTATGAATGTTATGTGTGATTTTTCGCATCAATGCGTTACTGTGATAATTAAATCAGTAAAAGCACTTCTATTGCTAAATTGTCCAAATTCTAAACGATCAGTTAGCTTATATTTAATAACAGCATGACCCTAGATAAGCGATAGGCATGGGCCTTTAAGTTTTATCTTTACCGACAGTAATTTTTCGTATGCCTAAAAACTATGTAGAAGGCCAAAATGTTGCGGGGGACAATGTCGCCAAAAAAAAAAAAGAAAAAGGTAATTGCTATAACATTATAAAACGATTTAGATTAAAGCACAGACATCATCCAATAGTTGTTTATCAGCAAAGAACTGTATACGTGTGTATTTGAGCATTTGTGTTTATATATGACTACATATACATACATATGTATATATGTTTTAATTGTTGCTATCAACTCATTCGCCATTATCGATTACTGTTTACTGTTATATATCTCAGTATCGATTACTGTTACTGTCTGAAAAGTTGAGTGGATTGAAACGACTTAAGTGTGACATTTGTTAAATTAGCAGACCAAAACAAAGCATTTCCCCTGCTCTGCACTTTGTTTAATTAAAGCAGGTATTACAGGTTGAGCAGGTACAGAGACAGGCCATACTTATTATATGTACCCAAATTTTACATTTATGGCACTTTTACACTAAATTTACGTAATTTAAGCTGTGTGTGTGTGTGTAGTAGCACCTCCTGACAAATTTAATTGATTGACGCATATTTGCGTTCTATATAAATACATATCTCTCTATGTAGTATGTGTGCATATGTTAGTATTAATATATTTAAATAAATTGGCACAACGTCGACGCAGTTCAAATTGATGACACTGGCAGCAGCAAGACTCACATATTTATTGTTGTTTCACTAAGCTGTGTTTTAATTGACTGGATCACTTTACACCTAATAATTGCGTTTAATATTCAACTTTAACTATATTCTGTATGTACGACAGTGAACAAATGAAATGAAAAGAAATAGATGTGTATTTTGGTTTCATATGATTTTCGGCGCGTCGTCGTCTTAGTGCGGTACTCAACGAAAAGCTTTTACCGCAACAGGAAAGAAACTCTCCCTATGAGCTACCGGCGTGTACTGTATATTTAAGTTTTTCTTGTAACCAGCATACGCGCAATCTGCTGTGCAGAAAGCTCGAAAAATTCGATAAATCGATAACGCCAGAGTCTGGCAACGCTTGCGCGAATAGATTGTAAAAACATTGTACAACACTTCTGAATTCTTTCGATTAGTTTTATTGTTTCGTCAACTGAGACACAATAATATTATTGATAAGTTTGTAGAATTCTAAGCTATTCCATTTGGACAATGAGTACGGCACGTTTTGCCCGTTCGGGGCGCGTTAGGATCTGTATTCTGATGAGCATGTTTGTTGTCGTCATTATGATGATTGTCATTTACCACATGTCCCAACAGCAACTTGACGAGACCAGAGTTTTCCGCCTGCACTGCGAACAAAAACAGGAGGAATTGAGCTTAAGGCTGCAATGTAAGTAGCAAACCAACAAATGAAAGCCTCTTTATAGAACTATCTACATCAAATACTTTATCTATGTGATGCAGCACTCACGGAAAACAAACAAGCAGCAGAGAAAAATGTGGAGTTATTACGTGCTGAAAAGCAAAGCATACAGGATGACTATGAAAAGCAACAGGATGTGGAGAGAACGCTTCAGCAGAAGTACGATGTGCAAGTCAATAGGTACAAAGTACTCGAGGCCAAGCATAACGAATTGCTAACTGAAAGTGAAAAAATCAAAAAGAAGCACATTGAAGACACAACTACGTTGCTCGAACAGCTGCAAAAGCTGCAACAGAACAACAAACAGCAGGAGGCAACCATCTGGAAGGTGTCTTAATAATTGATTTTCATTTGGTTATAGTTATTCATTTTGCTTATTTATTACTTAAAGGAAAAGTACGAAACATTGTTGAAAGAATCTGAGCACAAAACGCATACACTAGAGCAAGCGCTTGAAAAACTGAATGCTCAGTGTAAATCGGGGGCTCCGGCGCAGGCACAGACACAACCAAAACAACAGCTTGTTAAGCCAATTGACTCCCTGACTGCCGACACAACGTCCGGTCGTCAGTCAAGTCCAGCCCAACCGGCGCACAGCATTGAGAAGCCGCGCAACAACAAGTCCTTCAACGAGCAAGTACAAGTGAGTCAAGGGCTGTATAGAATCGGTATCGCCAAGCCCAGCCAGGCAACTAACACAACAACTAAATCCCATGGTGTCGGTACGGAGCAGCGGCAGGAACTGCAACGGCAACTGCAACAACAGCAACCATTGCAGCGCTTCGATGTGCGCAACAATCATAGCCTCATACTAAACTCTGTTGAAAATTTTCAGATGGTCCCCAAAGCGCTTAAAACGGTTGCTGATGAAACAAACAAACAGCAGCAAGAACAGCCCGAGTTAGCTGCAGCTGGTTCAGCTGTTTCGCCACTGAGTGCACCGCGAAAATCTAACTCTAGTACTCCAAATTCCGAAGTATCACCAAACGCTTCTGTTGCGCCCAAGGCATTAGGAAGCAGCAGTAGTGGTCAGCCGCCATTGGTCATGCCACCAGCGAAACCATCCGCTGAAGTCAAGGTTGAACGTAAGCTGCCGGAGAATGTTGCACCCATTCCAGATAACTTCGATGGCAAAGCCGATGGAGCTGCAGACGTAGATACGGCAGCCGAAGAGCTGCCCAAAAACGAGAATAATAATCGGTATTCCAATGTCGTGAACGATATGGAGACTAACAAAAATCAAGGAGCACTTGATTCTGGAGCGCATGAAGTGAAAGATGCGCTAAACGAGCAGAACTTCAATTTACCTGGCGCCGGGCACAATTTATTTGATGGTGACCTCGCTGGTGCACATGGAGCTGAAGCGGATAACAAAATGCTCGCCGCAGATGCAGCCGCTGTTGGCGGTGGTGGCGGCGATGACGATGACGACGTCATTCTTGGAGATGTAGCTGTGAAGCAGCCGCAGCATTTGCTGGAGAATGACAATTTAAACAATGAAATCGCCGGTGATCAGGGCAAGGAATTTGGTGAGGCTGTTCATCTGGACGATGGCATGGATGAAGATCAAGACGGTAACTATGATTGTAATCACTTCTTAAATGCATAATTCAATATTTACATTTCAGAGGATGATTACAACGTGCCGGCACGCAAGCCGGGCGCAGATTCGCCCGTTAGAAATTAGATGATTCACTATAGATTTAATAATGGCTTACGATAGTATTTAATTATGGCATCTCTCTGACAGTCTTGGTTAGTTCTTTTTGATAAAGAAGAGAAGAAGACAAACACCAGCCACTTTAGTTAAGATTCAGTCCCTTTTATATTGATACAATTTGCTGAAAAACTACGAGTTCACAATCGCTGGTATATATTGCAGAACTTGTTTTAGTTAATAACAAATTAATTCAAAAGTTTTAGTTTAACCATTTTAGTATTTGAACCTACAATACAATTGGCTTAAATCATGTCACTAAACATGAAATTTTGAAAATCTTGTTTTAATGTACCCCACACACTGTTTTAAACCTTTTATATTAAACACAACATTTTTAAAAATCCATATGATGTGACAAATAAATGAAAACTCTAATAGCTAAGCCAATTATATTGTATATAAGCAAACAGATACATTGTTTAATTAAAGTTTGCAGTTGATTCTTTAATGGTGTTCAGTTTAACGAATATAACTAAAATATTCAATGCTCTATAATGGATTTTGAGGCGTTTTATATTAAATTAGCTGCGCTTTTTTCCCCACTTGTAACTCAATAGTTCTCTTGAAGTTGTAAGTATATACTTTGTTTTCTGTGATAAAAACTTGCTAAGCTGCATTTTTTGGTTGCTTTAAACAAATTGCGTCTATACTGATTTATATATGTACTAGGATATGCTAAGTCCCTCAAATAATAATTTAATAAGCCCATATGTAAAAGTAGATCGAACAAAATGTGTCTATAAATTAAATGAAACTCAGAAATTTTATTTAAAGCAAAATGAATATAAATTGCATAAATGTTAATCATGTTTTCTTTATATTAATTAAAATTTATTAATGCGATAATTAAATAACTGGCGCTCTGGCGAATTTTAAACATAAAGTCAGATGAACTGAAGAAACTGAAACAATTAAATAAAAATGTTAAAATGAATTTAAGATTCAACCAGTCGAGCGATTCACTGAGTGTGCGCCACAATCCATGGATGTAACATAATCTGATCCAGTGGCATTCGATGCATAGGATTTAGCACTAAGAGCTTGGAGATTAAATGAGCCGCAGCTTTCGAGACGTGCTCCGGTGTTTTGTAATCCACTTTAAGTATCTTTTGATAGGTCTCTTCATAGGTCTTTGAAAAGAACGGCGCATGACCCACAAGCAGTTCAAAGCAGAGCACACCTAAGCTCCAAAGATCTACATTCTTGGTATGCGGCTTGTTTAGCACCATTTCGGGTGGCAAGTAGTCAACCGTGCCGCAAAGGGTCAGACGCATCGAGTTCGGTTCATGCACGGACCAACCGAAATCGGCTATCTTCAGCACTCCTTTGTGGCCCAGAAGCAGATTCTCCGGCTTAATATCCCGATGAATGATATCGCGCTCATGCAAGTACAACAGCGCTGAGCAGAGGGCCTTGATATAAGTGGCCGACTGGCGATCATCGAAGCGTTTCATTGGCTGCGCCTGCAGTGCGCTGAACAGCGTTCCTTGGGGAGCATACTCCAAAACCAAATAGATGCGTGCCTCGTCATGAAAATAGGCATACAGACGCAAGATATGTGGATGCCTCAGGTGCGATTGAATTTCGATTTCGCGTCGCACCTGATGCTCGACCTTGGTCTCACCAATTTGACGCTTGAAAAGGACTTTCAGTGCAACGACAAATTGGGATTCCTTTTCGCGAGCCAAATACACGTTGCCAAATTTCCCACGTCCCAGCTGGCGACCAATGTCAAAGTTACTTAGCGCCCAAGTCTTTTTGGGTTTGGCTGTCGCTGATTCTGAGCATTGAAGAGCAAATTGTTTTCATACTCTAAATATATTTTAGAGTGACTTACCAGTCTTATCCTTTTCAGTGTTGGTGTTGCTGCTGCTGCTGCTGCTGCTACTCGCAGTGGCTGATGTCGGAGCTTGCTTTTCATTGTTAGACACAGCAGGATTTGCATATTTTTTAGCTTCCGCTACAGGAGCCGCTGCAGTATTTTGTTGTTTTTGCTGTGAGCCAATCGCGGGCTTCGTTAGAGGTTTTGCAAATTGTGCGCTAGTTTTGCTGCCACTAGGCGCCACATTTTCAGTCGTTGGCTAAGTACAAATTTAAACACATATTAAACTGCAAAAGCAATGCGAAATCCGATTTCCTAACAATACAATGCTCACCTTTTTTGTTAGCAATTGCTTTTTCTGCATTGCCATTGCAGAATGGACAGGAGCAGCAGCAGGTCCTGTCTTGGGTAATGCATTTTCCTTTGCACGCAACACATTATTTGGTTTTTGGGACATATTTGTTAAGCTAAAATTAATTGTTTTTAATCAGTCATAAAAAATCTTATTCAATTTAATTGGTGCAAATTCAAGGTCTGATCACAGTGATCTCTGTGTGAAAATAAAATGCCGTTCGTTTGAATTTGGAAGCGCGTGCATGCGTTTCCAAGTGAATGTCGATAACAATTCTTTGATAACTATTGTATGGGAAAATATCGAAAGAAAAATTTTAGTTCGAGTAGAAATTTTTTAGAATAAATGAATGATCAGAATGGCTGGAAGGGATTTTATTATGTTTAAAAAATCATTCAAATTGATAGATACGGATGTTACTTTGTAAATATTGTTAACAACTACAATCATAATGTTGATAGCCAAAGTGTTACTTGTCATATGTGAATGTCTATATGTATAGAGTAAGAAAATGGCGTAGAAGTCGAAAAATCGTTTTAGAAAATTGTGGCCAACTCAAGTGCAAATTATAATATAGTGTTCAACATAATACCAAACAAGATGTTCCCTGGTGGCAACACAAATGCCGACCTGGGCTTCAACAAACATAATCAATATATGGCGCAACCACCGCATTTTCTGGTTGCACCAGGTCCCGGGTCTGTTCCAATTCCCGGTGCTGGACTCGCCAACCCATTGGCGGCTGCAACGCCCGTCATGCCAATGAATGTGCAAGGCGGCATAGACTGGGCGCAACTGGCTCAGCAGTGGATACACATGCGTGACTCGTCAGCAGCGCAACCTATGGCTAATTTTAGCATGAATATGCCGATTGCACCTCCGCCACCGATTATAAGCAATGCGCCAGAGTATCACCATCATCAACAGCAACAGCTGCGCCAGCAGCAGCAGCAACAGCCGCCTAAAGTTCAAAAACACTACGAGGAGCACGGCGAGGCAGAGATGGACATGGATATGGATGAGGAAGAAAATGAAAATAGTGCACGCATGGCGCATTGCATCGAAAATCTACCCCCTCCGCCTGTGGTTACGCAATCTCAGTGGATGGCAGCCAGAGTAAACGATGTACCCAATATTGCATCACACGATACGGGTGAGTGATTGCCACAACCTAGATTTGCCCCAATTACATATCAATTTTAATATTCCTGTAATACGAACTTTAGTTGGCCCAGACCCTCAGCAGTGGAATGATTGGTCAGCACGCAACAATCCAACAGCCCATATTCCATCGCTTTTAAAACTTAACGTCTGCAATCCGAATGAGCCAGCGATGCATCAGCAAGCACAACTTCCTCTGCCAAGAAGCAGCAGCTCTACCGTCACTGGCAGCGCTAGCTGCAGCGGTGTCGTCAGCACCGACATTGATGCAAACAAACGCAAAATGTTACCAGCTTGGATTAGGTAAGACCATCATAAAGAGTACATTAGATTAGTAATTTAATTGCTACTAAAGTACAGCAAAGTGGCAAGCGAATTTATTGTTAAGTTAAAGTGATTCAGATCCTAATTTTGAATGCAATTGTTTCTTATTTTGCTTTAGAATAGTCGATCAAAGATTCAATTTTAAATAATTGTCAGTTAAAGTATTATTATATTTATTATAATTTAATTAATAAATGTTTTGTATATTTCAGAGAGGGTTTGGAGAAAATGGAACGTGAAAAGCAAAAACAGCTAGAACGACAAGCTACCACAACGGAATGCGAGACGCCAGAGATCAATGTTAAGCAAGTATCAAGCAAATCACTAACAACACCTGTTAATCTCTTGAACATGTCGAATGTGGTAAGTAGCGAAGTGTGTCTGTGGGCTGCACTTGACTCGTTTTTAAGTTGTGCCTGTTGCAACAAGAATTTAAACTGGTTGCACTTGAGCACGGCACACCAGACCAAAGTGTCAGCGTACTAAATCAAACGCTTTGCCATTAACTTGAATTCGAAATTCAGGCAAGCGACAGTGAAGATTCAAATGCTGCCCCGGTGGAGGCCACACTAGCGCCCAGCCTGGCTCAGCTAATAGGTAATGAAGTATTGAGTAAAGCCAGCAACAGTGATGACGAGCAGGAGGACGACGAGCAGCAGGAAAGTCAGCCACAGCATGATGTGGACAGTGGGCACGTTGAAGCAACAGTTGCAAGGTCAGCCAATGCTGAGGCAGCATTAAGTGGTAAAAACTACGAAGAAAGACTGGCCGATCTGGTAGGCATCACAATTTTAAGTCCGGGTGCGCTCGTCCAGGCAACGAAACCCAAAACCGACTCGTACTCCTGTCACTTGTAAAAGAAGCAATTTGCATGCAGTCTATGAAAAATATTATACAGTATTACATCCAAATTGAGCCTTGATAAAACAAATATTGTTTCATATAGTTTAACTTGAAACCATTTCTTATAACTAGAGCCAACTGGTTATGCTTTAATTCCATTATTTATCTATTATTATTCATACTTAAATTCTTCTATTGGCTGTACTGCTGAATACTGAATAATAATTTAAACAGAGAACTTTTTCATTTTAACCTAATATATTTCGGCAAGGGGTTTCATTGTCTGGCGCCACTTAGTTATCGTGAGGCATTTGAAATAGCGCAATCAATCTATAAAAAAACCAATCTATAGATGCTTGTTGTGCGTCGCACACTAACCGAAATACTGCTGGAAACCACCAATGAAGAGATTGCAGCTATTGCTACTGAAACACTCAAAGCGCATCGCGCTAAAGGTACTTTATATCCTATTTAGAATATTAAGATTATCGAATTTTTTACAGTGAGAACACATGTATGAGTGAGTGTGAGTGTGTGTGCTTGTGTGTGAGTATGCGTGCGCGAGTGTGTAAGTACAAATGATATATTTGAATTTTTGATGGCTGTGAGGCACAAGCTCCAGTAAGTTGAGCCATATTTTGAATGAAACCAGAGATGAAAAGTATGGAATTATTCATCACCTCCGAGAGGATGTCGTCTCTATCGTGGTGTACTCAAGCGTTCGCGTTTAGTTTGAGTAATTAATTTTAATTCTATGTCACTGTTTATACTTGTAACAAACAATCCAATCACATGCTGAATTTCTCTATATAATCGTAATCTATGTATATATATCTATATGTGTATATATATATATATATATATATATATATATATATATATATACATGTATATGTGTATGTAAATCAAAAGCGTCATCAGCCCAAGTGATTCGCAAAAGCGCCTTGTCCTCCATTACCGGCAACCTGGGTAAGTAACAAATTCCAATTTAGCCTTAAGTTCTTGAACACTTTTGTTTAATAGGTAGTCTGAGTTCTGCTTAAAACCCTAAACCCCCATATATAGAATTATCTCCACATTTCATACACAGTGAACGGGACTGCCTAACTTACTTTCTTATCATGCATATAAATTCGGTTTCTATTCCATCCAACCCAAATTGACACTGACTGATTCTAAATTCCTGAAGACTTCCATTAAATTTCTTTTGACTAGACCACATTTATTCTCACTTTCTGCATCCTAGTATTCGTATTTCTCAATCTTTCTCTGCATATCTGTTTGCTAAACCATTTTATCTAA